CCTGCTGCGCCCACCTTCTCTCTCCTACAGCTCCCCTAGAGGCACTGCTGGCTGTCATAGGCCTCAGGCTCGAGGTCCCCTCTCCTCGACCCTCCCAGCCTCCCCGCTGGTGATCCCACGCTTCCCGACCCTTTGCCAGTTGAGCTCTAAAAGGACGCCTGGGTGACTCAGTCAGTTAAACTTCCGCCTCCTGATTTTGGTTCAGGTCATGATCTTAGGGTGGCGGGTTCAAGTACCGTATTGGGCTCCTTGCTCAGCAGGGAGTCGGCTGGGGATTCTCTGGCCCTCTCTCTGTCCCCCACCCCTGCACACGCTTTTTCTCTCTCTAAATTATTATCTTTGAAAAAAACAAAGTGCCCTTAGCTCATGTTCAACCCTTACTATCTGACCCTACTCCTCACCAGCTGCTCAGCCTCCACTTGTATGATCCTAAAAAATACTTTACTTGGTGGGGCGCCTGGGTGGCTCAGTGGGTTAAAGCCTCTGCTTTCAGCTCAGGTTATGATCCCAGTGTCTTGGGATCAAGCCCCGCATCGGGCTCTCTGCTCAGCAGGGAGCCTGCTTCCTCCTCTCTCTCTCTGCCTTCCTCTCTGCCTACTTGTGATCTCTGTCAAATAAATAAATAAAAATCTTTAAAAAAAAAATAATTTACTTGGCCCCACTGTTCTCATCACCACCAGTTCACTTTTCATTCACTGCCCAAATTCTTGAACGAGGAGCACACCCTGCTCTGCTGTCACTGTCCATTCTGGTGAACGTCTGCATGCTGCTGTCCCTACTCTTCCCTTTTCTTTAGACAAATATTTTTTCAGTAGGCTCCATGACGAGCAGGGAGCCCAGCTCAGGGCTTGAACTCATGACTCCGAGATTAAGACCTGAGCCGAGGTCAAGAGTCAGATGTTTAACCGACTGAGCCACCCAGCTGCCCCAATATCTGTTCTCTGCCAGAATGTCAGCTCTGTGAAAGTAGACATTTACAATTTTTATTTACTGCCAATGCTTCCCATCTGTCAGTGCCTGGTACACGGGAAGCCCTCAAACTTGAAGGAATGACTTGTCCTTCCCTACTGTACTGTAAGCTCCACGAGGATGGGCCTTGTCTGGCTCACGTTAGGTCTTCAGTACCTGGCACCCAGCAGGCGCATGAGTATTTTTTGTATTAGCAAATGAACCCAGTTGCCAGGTAAATTCTGGGACTGTGTTTTTGCAATACTGCTTTCTCTAGTGGATGTGGTTTGCATATTGTCCTTTGCATCTGTCCCCTCCTGCTGTTACCCTCACACCTGGCTTCAGCAGTGACCTCCTTGAAAGTTCAGCAGCGGAAATCCACTCCGGTGGATGCTTGCACCAGACTACTTTCCTAAAATAAGACGTTGCTATTGCTCCTCTGCTCAGAAACTTTCCCTGTTACGGTTTCTTCCGTGCAAACAGGTGGCACCGCAGTCTCCTCTGTAAACTGGCTGTTCAGAACAGCAGGACAGCCCTTCCCATCGGTGGCACATACGGAGGCCCACCTCATAAGTCCCCGCGGCTTATGGCTTTGTACATTTATAGTTTCTTTCTCCCTCTTCCTTTCTCCCTACCTCTATCCACCTACCTACCGACCCCCCTCCCAGAACTCAGCCTACCACTGAACTGTAGTTTAAATAAACATAAAGCAGTGTTTCTAGGGGGCACCGGGGTGGCGCAGTTTAGTGTCTGACTTGATTTCGGCTCAGGTCGTGATCTCAGGGGCATGACAATGAGTCCCATGCTGGGCTCCACGCAGGGCTTGGAGCCTGTTTGAGGTTCTCCGTCCTTCTACTGCGCACCCACCACCCCCGCCCGTCAAATAAAATTTAAAAAAATTTTTTAAAAAGCACCCAATGTTTCCAGAGGAAATATGCTCCATTTCATTCAGGGGACACCAGGCACATATCTTGGCCGATAGGGAATTCCCCCTTGAAACCAAAATTGATGATCCTCAGACGGTGACAGCTGCTGTCTAAATACACCTGTTGTTCAAGGCTCTTAAGTTCCAATTCCATCATGAAATCTTTATGAGGAAATCTTCCCCATCATCTGAGTGAGAAGTGATAGCTCTCTTCCTCTCAAGTCTGGACTGCTCATTTGACAGCTGCTTTATCTATTACGTTATCTTGTTTGTAATTCTTTGTATGTCTTACCGCTGAGAAGACCGTCAGCTGCTGGAGGGAAAATGCTCTATTCTACAACTTATGGCATAGAGTAAGTGGTAAGCACTCACTAAATAGTTACTGAATAAACGATTAATGCCTACTGTTTTCCAGAAGACACGTGCAGGCAAGTCAGAAATCTGGTCTTCACTATGGCCGATTCAGTTTTTTGTTTTTTTTTAAAGATTAATTTATTGGGGCACCTGGGTGGCTCAGTTGGTTAAGTGTCTGCCTTCAGTTCAGGTCATGATCCCAGGGTCCTGGTATCAAGTCCCACACTGGGCTCCCTGCTCAGTGGGGAGTCTGCTTCTCCTTCTCCCTCTGCCTTCCCCGCTTGTGCTGTCAAATAAAATCTTTTTTTTTTTTTTAAAGATTTTATTTATTTGACAGAGATCACAAGTAGGCAGAGAGGCAGGCAGAGAGAGAGAGGAGGAAGCAGGCTCCCTGCTGAGCAGAGAGCCCAATATGGGGCTCGATCCCAGGACCCTGGGATCATGACCTGAGCTGAAGGAAGAGGCTTTAACCCACTGAGCCACCCAGGCGCCCATGTCAAATAAAATCTTAAAAAAAAAAAAAAAAAAAAAAAAGATTCATTTATCTAGGGATGCCTGGGTAGCTCAGTTGGTTAGGCATCTGCCTTTGGTAAAGGTCATAACCCCAGTCCTGGGATTGAGTCCTACATCGGGCTCCCTGCTCAGCGGGAGCCTGCTCCCTCTGCTTGCCGTTCCCCCTGCTTGTGCTCTTTCTCTGACAAATGAGTAAAAAAAAAATTCATTTATCTATTTTAGGGAGATGCGAGTGAGTGCACGAGGTTGGGGAGAGGGAGAAGCAGAGGGAGAGAGAAACTTAAGCAGACTCTGAACTGAGCAGAGTCTGATGGAAGCTCCATCTCACGGACCTGAGATCATCCTGAGCCAAAGCAAGAGTCCGATGCTTAACCACAGAGCCACCCAGGTGCCCCTCTGCTCTACTTTTGAGTAAAAGTATCCTGCAGCCTGATACCAGGAGGCTGCCTTGGAAACGTGTGTAACAGGTGTCTACAATAGGAAACAGCTGAAAGTATGAATGAGTCAGTGCAAAATGCTCATGGCTAACAGCATGTTGCTGTTTATCTCATGCCTGTATGTGCCAGATAATTTATAAACCTCTCAGCCTCACAACTATTCTGTGCGGAAATGGGCTCCAAGATGTGATGTGACTTATCCTAAATCTCAGTAACTATTTAGTGATGGGTTCCACGCTCAGTGTGGAGTCTGCCTGGAGTCCTCTTTCTCTCTCTCCCTCTGCCCCTCCGCCTGCTCTCGTGCTCTCTAAAATAAATCAGTCTTTTTTTTTTTAAAAAAGAAAGGCATATGAGCAGCTCCTCTTGCAGGCAGTACCTTCAGGTTCCAAGCCCATGTTGTTTTGACATCACCACACTTGATTCTTAGTTCCTGGAAAAACAACTCAGAACTTGAGTTGGACACTCCATGAGCTGTTCAAGGATCTTCCCTGTGACCTTGTTTATTAAAAAAAAAATTATAAACAACATGAGTGCCTATCAATAGCAGAGTGGTTAAATTACAGTATAAACCTAGGACAGCGTAATACCACACAGCTGTTAAATGACAGAACGCCCAAACGTGTTGGTAAAGAGAAAAGGCAACATTCATACGTGTATCTGTTTGCTTAGACACAAAAATTCTTTGAGGGGCCATGATTAATTCATTCAACAAATATTTCTTAGACATCTTAAGGTGTCCAAGGAACTTATTAACAAGGGTTACCTGGGAAGAGGGGGTCTGAAGAAAAAACTTGTACTTTGGGGTAAGCTTCTGTACAGTTTGCTTTTTGACCATGAGCATTACTTCTTATAAAGTCAAACTAAAAACGATAAAACGAGTAGAAATACTTAACAGCAACTTGACTGGAAAGGGACAGGGCTATAAGAACTTCGAATTCCCTGTAATTCTCTAATCACAATGGCAGTAGGAGCATCTCACTTTCAGGCCAGGTTGGAACTTACTCCAAAACGGGGAAAAAACTGGAGCTGATGATAAACCCAATCCCGCTTAACTGCCGGCGGCAGCCCAGGTCTTCCTAACCACACGCTTTTGAGATGTGACTGTGTAGGCGGTGTGAAATCTAAGCGGAGGGAGCTGCTGCTTCGGGCTGCGGGTGCCGCTCACACCGGCTCGGCGTCAAGGTGGACGGGGCTCTGACTCTGGAACTGCCCTCCCCATGTTACCAAGGAGGCAACTCAGGCTCCACCGGGTCACGGGGCCAGGAGGTGATTCAAAGGCCACACTCCTCTCACGCTCCGCTCCGCAGGCGACTCGTGGCCCTCAATACCGGGCAGCCAGCGTCCACCCGGACGTCCAGTCCGCAGGCCCGGGACCAGCACCCCGGAGGCGGCGTCCGTGCGGAAGGGGGCGGAGTGTCCGGATCCCGGGTCTCGAGAAACCGGGAGCTCGGCGTAAGCCCCGCCTCCAAGGTCACTGCGTGCCGGTCTTTCCGTCTCCGCAGCGCCTGCGGCTCTCGAAGATGCAGGAGCCAGTCCGTCCCGGGCCACGGCCGAGCTTCTCCCGCGCTCTCGGCGTCCTTCAGGGGTCCACAGCAACCCGGCTCGCCGAACCCCCGGGCCGCGCACGGCTGAGGCGACGTTCGCCGACGAGACGCAGGCAAGACTAGCCCGCGCCCGCGCCCGCGGGAGTCCGCCAGGGCGCCTGCGCGGGGCGCGAGCGCGGAGAGGGCGCGGCTGGCCGCGGCTGCGGCTGCGCAAAGGCGGTGTCAAACGCTGCGCCTGCGCGCTGGCGGGGCGGGGCGGGAAGGAGGGAGGTGGCGGCGGCAGCGGCGGCGGCTGCTGAAGAGGAGGAGGAGGAGGAGGAGGGGGAGAAGAGGGAGGTGTTTCTGTCAGTTCCGGCTGTTTGTTCGGGAAGTGGATCCGCCGCTGCCGAAGCAGCCCGGAGGGAGCTGCGGATCGCGAGGCCAACACCGACCCCGCCCGCCCGCGCGTGCTTCCCCCGCCCGCCATGGCCCGGGACTACGACCACCTCTTCAAGCTGCTCATCATCGGCGACAGCGGTGAGGGCCGCGGCGGCCGGACGCGGCGTGGGCCCTGCCGGGCGCGGCCCGCGGGGGCCTCGGGGCGGGCAGGCGGGCGGGGAGGTGCCGGCCCGCGCGGGGCGGGGCTGCCTGGCGGCCGCCGGCCCTAGGGGCGGGTAGAGGGGCTGCGGGCAGCCTCGAGGTGAGGTTGGGGCACCTGGCTTCGGAGCGGAGGGGCTGGACGCATGGGGGTCGGGGCTGGGGCCCCCGGTCCTCTCGCCGCGCCTGCCCCTGCCTCACGTGTGACCTTGGTCAAGTCGCGCGATGCCTGGAGTTGGAGAGACCCGGGTTCGAGTTCTGGGACTACCAGCTTCCTTACTCCGTGACCTTGGGCAAGTTGTTTCGCCTTTGTGAGCCTCAGTTCCCTCATCTGTGAGGTGGGGACTTGCCTTGCTGGGTGGTATGACTGTTAGATGAGATAAAGCTGGGAAAGTGCTTAGCGCCCAGCCTGGCGTAATGTCAGCCCTGGGTAGGTGCTAGCTATTGATGTGATTATTAGTGCCGTTTGTAAGCCTCAGTTTCTTAGTCTGTAAACTAGGGATAATCCCAGAACCTTTCTCATGGGATTACCTTGCACAGGGCCTGGCACATTCCTGCTGAGTTATTACCCGTGTGGTTCTGTCTCCCCATCTGTAAAATGGAGTAATAGTAGCATCTGCCTCTCAGGGCTCAGTGAGTGTTCAGTGAGATAATGCACACATAGTGTTGGCAACAGTGCCTGCACGTAGAGAGTGCTCAGTACGTGTTTGCTGCTACGTACTGTATACTAGATGGGTACTGGAGGTGGGTCAGCCAGTATTGCAAAAGGGCTTTGACCACGTATGCTCTCTGGGAGAGCTCCTAGCTCCATGCAGTGCATCTTCTCCAGGGCCTGGTGCAGTGCCTTGCAACCAGTAGGTGCCTAAAACACATTTGTTGAATGAATGAATGAATGAATCAGTGTTAAGTTCCTAGAAAAGACAGGTTGGTTACTGGGAAAGGGTGGAGGGTTTTAGAGGTGTTTGGAGTGTGGCAGGTAAGCAGGTTTATGGGGTGACCAAGAGGTCAGGGAGGCAGGCCCTAGGAGGTTTATGGGAGCATAGCTGAGGTGCTGGGATTATATGATGGGGAAGAAGGCTTGGGAGCATGCCAGGTTTATAGACCAGACCTGAGTTGAGGGCAGGGGAGTCATATGACTGAAGGCAGAGGCTAGATTGGTGGTGGAGCCCATGGGTTGAAGGAAAGGGGCAGTGGGGGGGAGTAAATCAAAGGAGTTGTGAGACGCTGATGGAGGAGTGCTGGGTGACACTGGGCTATAGCTGGCTGTGGAAGTGAGTGGGTTTTGATCTCACTGTGAAGCTAGATTGGGATGTGGTTGGTGGTTTGGATCCAGTGAAGGATGGCTGAGGTTTCTGTGGTTACTGGTGGAAGGGAGAGGTAAGGGGAAAAGTTAGGGGCCAACGAGGGAGATGCAGAGTAGCTGTGGTCAAGGAAGGAGTTAGATGGGTGGAGGGTGGATTCGTTGTGGTTTGAATGAAAGAAAACTAGATGAGCTGTGTAGACTAACCCTTGGAGATGGAGTCTGGCATTCCTCAGGGTCCCGAGACTTACGCTTTTAAAGGATTTGATTTCAGCCCCGGCCTTTGTTCCCAGGGGCCGACACCAGGGTAATTTCTCTCCCTTTGGAGAGAAAGTAAGCCCACCACGGTCAGGGGTCCTTATCCCTCTAGGGCTTGTGTGTTGATATCCAAAAATGAAAAAGCATAAACTCTGCAAGAGGATGCAGCTTGTTGGCTTTTCTCTGTAAAACCGAGGGGGTGGTTCTGGCCCCCTTCCTCACAGTACGTTTTGCCTGCTGTGTTGATTTTCACTCAGAAGTCAGGTGTGGGAGAAGACTCGCTAAGTTATGTGGCTGGCTCCTAGCTCAGTCCAAGCTTGTAGAAGTACATCAGGTATAGGAGTCAAAGCTGGACCCTTATGAGCCTGGGAGATGGTAGCCTCGGTTCAGACTGAGCATGGCACCTGAGCGAGGAGGAGAGGATGAGGGATGGCCCAGGACTGGCTGCTTACGGGGAGGCTTTCAGGTTTTTCAGATGCTTTTGTGGACACTCTGATCTGGTTCTCACCTGCTCCCTGTGCAGTTTGTCACATAAGGAAACTAAGGCTCAGAGGAGCTGACTGCCCTGCCCGAAGTCACACAGCTCATCACAGGCAAAGCCAAGCGCTAATGCACATCAGTGCGATGCGGGAGCAGCTGGTGTCAGGCCGGGCGGGCCCTCAATGAGTGTTCGCTTCTTTATTACAAAATCTAGAGTTCTTCTTCCCACTCTGTCACATTGTACATGCTTCTGGGATACATTCCCTCAGCTTTTGCAGCTCTTCTTTATGGCCGACGTTCTACACTTTTTCCAACGTTCTTCTGACTTTATAGTACAGAAGTGTAATAGCATTTCGTCTGATCTGTGTGGCCAGCCATCCTCATTCTTAGAACCTGGAGGCTGGAGTGGCCGTCAGAGAACTAGTTAGAGCCTTTCACTTTGCACATGAGTGAGCTGAGGCTCAGAGAGAGGAAGTGACTTGTCTGAGGTTGTACAGTGAGTGGGTGACTGAGCCAGGATTAAAACTGTGAGCGCTTTACTCGAAGGTCTCAGGGACTTCAGCTGTCCAGAACTGAAGCCCAGACGGTGAGGGAACTTTTTGTAGCCCAGAGGAGGAGCAGAGCTGAGGGTGGGGACTTTTGTGGGGGCTTTTTGAGGACCTGAGCATCTGTGTAGGCAGGGAGCAGGGGAGAGTGGTGATGGTTGAGGGGCACGTGCGGTGTTTGCCGAATAAATCTGTCTTCTGCTGCCTGTGCTCTTTGCAGGGTAGAAGGTGATGGGGCTGGACTGGTTGGGTTTCGTGCTCTGTACGGTTCTTGGGAAGCCCTTGTCTTAAGCAGTGCTGAAAGTAGATTGGTACATATTACGTCCTCCCTTCGGCCAGTGCTGTGGGATGAGTGCAAGAGCATGTTTTCCCGAGGAGGCCTCTTCCAGGGATATTTAAGGGAGGTCATTTCTGAGGGTGGGGTTTCTCTTCCTTTCAAAGCGAAGAGCAATGCTGGAGATTGGGGTCAGGCCCAGAGCAGCAGTTACTGTGGTGACCGTAGTGGTGGTTCTGCAGCCTGGTGGTTTTCAGCAGCTCTGCTGAGCACAGGGGTGTGTGCAGGGGACTCGGAGAGACCAAGTTGGAGGGCACACTGCTGTTTCCTTGCTTCTTGCAGAGAGAGCAACTCCCCTTACTTTTATTTATTTTATTTTATTGTTTGAGAGAGAGAGAGCGCGAGCCATCGGTGGGAAGGGAGAGGCAGAAGGAGAGGGAGAGAGAACCCTAAGCAGGCTGCATGCCCTGTGCAGAGCCCGACAGGGGGCTGAGTCCCACCCTGAGATCGTGACCTGAGCCGAAACCAAGAGTCAGACGCTTAACTGACTGAGCCACCCAGGCACACCTTCCACACCTGTTTTAGATATATGGGATTCAGATAAAATTTAATTTTCAAGAAGGATTCTGTTGCCCCTGAAAGTTGAAAACCATTGCTTTGGCTTCGGTGAGCGCCGTGGTCATAGCATCAGACAGCAGAGCCGTCCGGGCGATCGGTGTTTGTTGTTTGGTCCTGAGTTCATTCAGCCGTGCTTTGTCGGTGTCTGCTGAGTGCTGAGCCCGCTTCCAGCACTGCAAATATCCAGGCCAAGGCAGGCAAGATCTGCTTCCTAGAGGAACTCGCAGCTAGTGGCCCAGACGCAGCTTTTAGCTGAGTAAGCAGACCCAGAAGGCTCCAGGAGGAAGCCAAGGAGCCGGCAGGCCTGATGGTGTGTCAGCGCTGGGCAGAGCCCCGTGAGGGACCCAGCCCAGGGCTTGGGCTTTCCTTGGGCTCAGCAGGAAGCCTCACTGAGGCGACAAGGAGGAAGTGGCCCCGAGCAGGAGCACGGCAGGCCCAGGGGCTGAGCAGCAGGTACTGCGGGTGCAGCGCCCATCTGCTCAGAGCCGCACCCCTGTCCTTGGGAAGGGAAGGTTCACTCCAAGAAACAAGTTCTGGGTGTCCCAGGACAGTTCCCAGAAGAGAGCATCAGAGAGAGCTGGCCGGAGAGGATGTCTGGGGTTGGTCAGGTTTCGAGAAGCAACACGGGAGACGGACGGAGGCAGCGTCCTCTCACGTTCTGATGAGCACTTACGGGCTCCTCCGCACCAGTGTACACTTAGCTTGCGGGGGGGGGGGGGGGGGTTGAGACCCTGGTGGAAGCTCTCCTCCTGCCAGCTGTGGCCGCGCTGCCGCTGCGGATCTGACAGGAGGGAGGTGCAGGAGCCCTTTTCGGGTCTTTTGGTTCCACATTCTGAACCAGGTACAGGAAGACTGCCCTGGCAGTGTGTATCAGAGCGCACCCCAGAGCCCTGGCTTCACGTCGCAGCCCCGTGCGTCCCCGCGGAGGCCCCGAAGGCCAGATGCTTAGCTTCCCGCGGCCCGGGTGCCTCTTCAGAGACGGAGTGGGAATTACAGGCGCGTCCAGGGGCCCATCGCACACACAGCTCTGTGGGCTCCGATTCTTTCCTTCTGTGGTTGGTTCACCCAGTCGACCTCAGGCTTGGCAGGGGTAGGGGATGGGATGGGGGAGACAGGGCAGGTGCACAGTCTAGTGCTGCTCGTTTTAAGGTAAAGGGAAGCCAAGCTTATGGGATTCTGCTTGCTCTTGGGACAAGTAGGCTAGGGGTTGCTGTGGTAAGTGAAACGGTCTGAGCACGTGTGAGCTCTTGGGCTGACAAGTGTAAGGTGGACCTCCCCACCCCCACCAATCCAGCTGGCAGTGACATCAGCAGGGGGAGGATGGCTGGCAGTTGGTTTGTGTTGTCTGGGCCTCAGTTTTCTCACCTATAAAATGGCCTCGATAATCTCAAGGGTCCCTTTTAGGTCCACAATTCCTCGTCTCATGCTGCACACAAATTGGGGCTCCACTCAGTGTATGCTTTTCTAGGGACCGTGTGGCTTAGACACACTTGGCTGTTTCAAATGGCTGACCTTCCCCCTGCTTTATTTCTCTCATCTGGTATCTTCCTCTGGGTCTCATCAGCACAGGGCCTGGGCAGAAGCCCCTTTCTCATCTCTCCCCACGGGACTCTGCAGCTTATCTCGCACCAGGACAGAGGGAGAGGTCAGACGTTGAGTGGGAGAGATGGTCTTGGTGTGTGGCCGATCAGGGAGATAAAAAGCAGCATTGAGGTGGGCAACGGGTCTGCTGAGCTTCTAGGAGTCCGCGTTTGGGCGCCATCTCCCTGAAGGACTGGGCTGGAGGGAGCGACGCACGCCCACCCCCCTCATCTCCTGCTTTCTCTCCTGCAGGTGTGGGCAAGAGCAGTTTACTGTTACGTTTTGCAGACAACACTTTCTCAGGTGAGTGTGCCCGTGGGGTGCTGCTGGAGTATTTTGGGTTTGAGATCCCTTTACCTGGCCAGGCCTTTGCCTACTGTCTGTCTGGTTCAAAAAATCCTTTTGTGGACCCATCCCTTTTCCACCCAGAGACCTTGTGCCCCAGCATTTAAGGGAGAAAAAGAAAAGTTGAATATTACTAGTTAGTACATGCCTGGATAAAATGTCAAACAGGTAGACTTACGAGGTGAAGAATGGGAGCCCTTCACCGGCCCCTGCTCTCGTGTCCCGGGAGCTTCTGTCCAGCATGTGTGTGTCTTCCTGGCTTTTTTCCAACTCGGCATGCGGTGGGTTGGCAGCTGGCCTTCGTTCTTCCCCATCTCTAGCAGACCTCTGCTTCTTCCGAATGCCTGTGGGTCTTTGGGCCGCGTGTGCGTGGACCTTCATCCTTCAGCAGCCGTGCTCCCGACGTGTGCGTGCTTTCTGGCTGCTTCTGGTTTAAGTGATGCATTAGGTGGGACGGGTCATATGTTCATCCTTGTGTAGAAGGGGAGTTAATGCTAACGAGGTCAGGGGCTAAAGGCAGTTGAAAATGCTGACTTGTCTTTTAAAGAAGCTGTGCTAAGTGACGCTCCCCCTGAAGCGGTCAAAAGTGCCCCTTGTCAGCTCTGATCAGTGCTGCGTCTTAGTGTTCGTTTTTGCTAATAAGCTAGTGGGCAGAACGTGCTATCCCGGAAGCGTGTGTGTTCCCGATCGCTGGTGAAGCTGGACACGTTTTTGTTTGTTGAATGTCAGATTCATTGCAGAGGTTTCCGGTTGGCTTGGCCTCTCCGATCAAGGACCGAACATGACTCTGTCGTCGGAATGTGTGCGCTGCAGTCGGGCAGCGCGCTGCAATTAGGAAGTGATTACGTGGCGAACACTTCCCTCTTGGTAGAGAGTTGGGTTTGGTCCGACAGCAGCCCTGCGGCACCCCTGGTGTGAAGTCAGGAAGGGTTGTCTGCCCCGTGTGCCCTTGGGCGCCGCTAAGTCTCAGCCCATCTGTGAAGTGGGACCCCTCGGCGTCCCTCCCACGCAGGGTTATTGCGAGGGTTACCCGAGACGCCCGGAGTCCCAGTGCCCGGACTAAGGAATCCCTCCCGCAGTAGCCGCTGGCCGTTGCTGCTGTTCCCTTCAGGGATGGGAACTCCTGGGCCCGGCAGCACCTCAGGGTCTGGAGCGCTGCTCTTCCTCCTCGTGCCCCTCTTGCTCACTCCTGGGAGCTTTCAGCTCTGGTCTCCCGGGCAGGGTCTCCTTCCCATTTCTACCCCCAGCCTCTTAGTGGAGTCCATCATTGGTTCTGGGCCAAAGCGTCACAGCAGCTTCTGCCCATCCCACACCCGAGGGGTGAATTCATCTCGCCCATTTGGGGCTCTGGCAGCTCTTTCCGGGGCTGGCACGCCTCTGCGGCCTTCTCACGCGGGCAGAGTCCGTACCAGGGGTTCCTCCAGCTTGGCACCACCGACACCGGCGCCCTGCGCTTCCCCGGGGCGAGGGCCGCGCGGCGGGTAAGGATATTGGGCAGCAGCCCGGGGCTCCACTGATGAGGTGCTCGGGGCTCTGCCCCCCACCTTCTCCCGGCCTTGGAAATGGTGCCTGTTTTTTCCAGGCCCAAGTGTGGCTTCCTCCCCAAAGCCTTCCTCGATCTCTGCCCCACCCTGAACTTTGACCCCTCCTTTGCGCTCCATATAGTTGGGTGTGTGTGGGTCTTGCCTGCAGCACTGTGTTACACAGTCTGCCCCAAACAGAGCAGGAATGTTGCTGTTTGTAGGCCAGGCGGGCGGGACGCGACAGTGGCTAGATTTTTCTCTTCCACTCCGTCTTTCACAGAGATGCCCGAATGAAGTGTTTCCAGTGCGGTTCGGGCTCTGATTCAGACCCCTCAGTGCCGCGCTGCCACACGCCAGAGAAAGGCCAAGCTCGTGAAAATGGCACAAAGACCCTGAGACCTGGCCTCCAGTCCCCCTGCCTGCCTCCCACTGCGTGCTCCACTGCATGTCACACACGCCCCCCTCCCCCATTGCTGTTTTTGCTTCCGTCTCCTCTGCCTGCAGCAGTGTTTTCCAAAATGCAGGTCGTGACTTGTGTGTGAGGATGGTAATGTTGTGGGTCATTTACAGTGTTGGGAATAGCACAGGAAAGAGAAACCCCAGAGTGTGGCCTGGGTCTCCCAGCACGCTCAGGCCACTGCTGACACATCTGCGCCCACCCATCTCATGAAAGGAGCCTGCCCCTCCCGGTCTCATCCTGGTTCCCGTTCCTTTGTGGGGCTCCTCACTCTGGAAATGGGGTCTTTCTCACTTCATCTCATTGTGTCCTCTCGCCCTCACCTCCACTGAGGGGTCCGTGGGGTGGTGGGCTTTGTCGTCCTTGTTCAGGGCTCTGTCCCCGGGGCCCGGAACGCGCTGGGCACAAAGAGCCAGCAGGGAGTACTGCGGAGAGCGGGGCCCCCTGTGTGGCTGAGGCCGCTTCCGGACGGGGTGCCCTGTGGGCCTGGCTGACGTGTGTGTGTGCGCAGGCAGCTACATCACCACGATCGGAGTGGACTTCAAGATTCGGACCGTGGAGATCAACGGGGAGAAGGTGAAGCTGCAGATCTGGGACACCGCTGGGCAGGAGCGCTTCCGAACCATCACCTCCACGTGAGTCGGGCCGGCCCCCGCCATTCTCTCCCCTCGCCACCTGTCTGTGGACACATGTCGGGTGTCCGGGCTCCCTGAGATGTCACTGGGGCGGGCCCCTGAGCTGTCAGGAGGCAAGCTCCTTGCTGGCCACAGTGGCTGGTGTGGCGTGAGAGGAGGAGGCGACAAGGTGGGCTGCTGTCCACAGGCGGCTGGTGGCTGAGCGCCGTGGCTCTGGGGGCTGGCGGGATAGTACGAGTCCGCCAGCTCACCTACCCTTCAGCTCCTTGGTATATAAAACGGAAGAACAGGGATGTGGCATGGTCAGACACAGTGAGTGACTCGTGTTCGCTGCTAGCTGTGACAGCCACGGTCGGCTGTGCAGCCTCCTGTCACCCGCCCCGACTTGGAGGAGGCTTCTCTTTTTTGAGAGGCCAGGAAGGAGCACTGGTACATAGGAGGCCGTCGGGAGGCCTCCTCTGCCTCCCCTCCTCTGCCTCCCCTTCCTTTACCAGGAACCTGGTTCACCCAGTGGGTTGCCTCCTTTGCTGCTGCAGCACCTTTGTGGTCCTTAGCTGGAAAGAGGGGGACCCAGCAGGAGCCCTGTGGACCTGTGGAGGGGCTCTCGGTTCTTGGGCTGTTAATAGAACAGCCTCCAGGAAGGAGCAGGGCTTTGAAGACGGTTCGGAATTTGTATTTCTGTTCTGCTGTGTGACCTTGGGCAAGTTGCCTCAACTCTCTGTGCTTCAGTTTCCCAGAGGGTTTCTCCTTAGGGTTGGCTTTAATGCCGAGTCCTCTGTGCCAGGTGCTCTGTGCTCGGGCTTCACCCGGACGATCTCGTTGCGCCCGCTGCAGTCGGCACTGTTGCTTTCTGCATTTTACAGATGAGGGACTTCTGAGAGTGGGCCTGGTGTGAGCGCCGGGGCCTGAGCTGGGGCGCCCCCCGGTGTGTGCAGAGAAGGAGCTGCTGTTGGGCCTGCAGTCAGTCGTTGCTTCTTTCATAGGCCTCTCCTTTGCCTCCGCCCGACATTCCTGTGTGACGGGGGTCTCCTGGGAAAGTGTGTGAGTTTTCTGGCCAGAGATCCCTTTCCTCCCTTCGGCCTGGAAAGGGCACAGACCCCAGGCTGCCCGCCCATCTGGAGACTCCTCAGGATCTTGTGTGCATTGGGACGTTGAGGGACGAGAAGCCCTCACGGTGGAGGCGGGGAGTGTCGTGGGGGGACTCTTAGAGGTGCTGCCAGGCAGGGAGAGGGACTAGGCTAGTGGGTGGGCTGCCCGAGCAGGAGGGGCTTCTGGCACTGGGCCAGCGGTGCCGAGCACACGTGCGCCATGGCGGGTGATGCCCTAGACCCCTCTGCCGGTGCAGCTGTGACTACTTGCTGACGATCTGCCCGAGTCCCCTTGTGTCTTAGCAACTGCCAGTAAGGCCTTAAGGAGGGCTGCTGGGTCTGAGGCTCCTTGGGGTAGGATGGATGGCGTGGGCAGCCCAAGCGTCCAGACCTGAACAGGACCACCTGTCTAGGTCGGGAGGTCTGGGCCCCCAGCCCCAGATGTCCTTACTCTGAGCTGGGACTGTCACTGAGGATTTTACTGAGTTTGTTTCACTTAATCCCAAATAAAGAGTCTGTGACTATTTCTATTTTATGCGTGAGAAAATTGAGGCCCAGCGAGGGCACAGTTGAAGTGAGGCCCATTTGATGCCAAAGCTCTTGCCTTCTGGTCCAGTCCACAGCCCTGCTCCCTGCTGGCCCCCACGCCGAGGGACTGGGGCTGAGGCAGATGCCCTGATGTCTCCTGTAGGTTGAAGCCGCTCTGGGAAGTCATGGTGGCCGAGAGTACTGGGCCTGTGGCTGTGAAAAGGGCTTTGGGCAGGGCAGTGGGCTGGGGTGCAGAGAAGCCTGTGGCCACCTTGAGGTCACCTCCTTTTAGGTCAGGGTGGGCAGGGGGTGAACCGCCTCCTCCTTCTGTTGGTGACACTGAGCAGCTCAGCTAGTGGAGGGCAGTGTGTGTGTTTTGGGGTACCCGAGAAGGGGGCAGTGCTGCACAGTGGTGGCTGGGGAGCACGGGCTCAGCCCCCTGCTGCCATCTTGCCGGTCTTGGGGACGCTGAGGAAGCTCCATCCTGTGTCCCCTACTCTGTGCCTCATGAGGCAGGAGGCGCTGCGCACACCATGCCGAGGGGGCACGGAAAGACGACGTCCCGTGAGGGGCGCTGGGGAAGGAGGAGGGAGTCTTGGGGGAGAGTTCAGGAGTTGTTCTCAGGGATTGGGGCAGTCGGGGTGTGGTAGTGTGGCTTTTTCTGATTCAGAGCATTAAAAGAGAAACTAAAACTGCGTCCTGTTAGCCTGACAAGGAGCCCTGTTGTCACCCCGTTTCTTATCTCTCTGAGGCTGGGGTTTGCTGACCCAGAGAAGCATGGCTGGGGTGCACGTCAGGGAGGAGTGAGTAACAAGGTGCTGGATGGTGAGGAAAGGAAGCCCCTTTGATGGCTGGCCCTGGACCAGGAGTCAGACCCAGACACCGTGACTTCAGCAGGTCATTGCACGTGGCCTTGTGGCCTCAGGGGTAAAATGGCGGCCCTCATGACTGTCCCACCAGGTTGCTGCGAAGACTGATAGGGCGGTGGATATAAAGTGTTGGGCGCTGGCTGGGCACAGAGCTGAGCTGAGCTGAGCTGAGCAGGGGTGAGTGGGTGTGATTACTGGTGGCAGTGGTGACAGGAGGCGCAGAAGCACTGGTGTCCCTCTTGTCGGAGCTCTGAGCCCCCGAACTCGTCCTCAGACTGGTTCTCGCTCTCCGATAAAGCCCTTTCAGCATTTCTTGGTTATTTTCAATAGTCTTCAACGCAGGAGAGCTAGGAAGTGTGTTCCTCTGCTCGAACTGCCTTTGCTGGCCGGGGACAGTCGCCTGTCACCCTGGTCCTGGCGCGCATGCCTGCCCAGGTGGGCGATGACCTGGCGCTCCAGCAGCAGCAGGTTTGGAGGGCCTGGCCCCTGCCCGGCTTCACGGTGCGGGCTCCCCGGGGCAGTGACACTGTGTCCCTGGAAGGCCGAGCTGTGGCAGAATGAAGCGCAGGGAGACCCCGCAGGCTCCTGAGGGGGCTGGAGCCCGGGGTGCCGCGCGGCCGCTTCTGTTCGCAGCCCTGGTCTTCGGCTGCGGCCTCGCACGCTGTCCCTTGGTTTCCTTCCGCCTGTGTCAGGGGCCCTGGCTTGTCACTGAAGGAATAGTGGTAATGGTGAAGAGCCACCGTTCCTTGACCGTTGGCTACTCATGACTGGCCCTTGTGGAAACAAGTCATCTCCTTTATTCCTCGCAGCCATCCCAAGAGCAAGTACTCATGTGTCCGTTTTATCGTTGAGGAAGGAGGTGATTGAGGTGCCTGCGCTAACCCTCCCGGGGTTCCACAGCCTTTCAGAGGTGGCACCAGGACAGCCTCTGTCCTGTGACTGGGCCTAGAAAGTGAAGAGTTGGCCAGGGCGCCGACGAGCCGGTCGTGAGGACGCGGCGGCGCGCACAGCCTCGCCGGCTGCATCCTCGCGGAGGCTCTGGTGCAGCGGGAGCCCGGGGGCTGGCGTGTGGGGTCCACGTCCTCCGTCTGTCCCTCTGAACTGTAAATGCTTGGGTTATGGCGTCTGGAGGGGAGCGTTCACGTCCTCCTGCCTTCCAGACCTTCTGGCTGAGCTCAGGCCGGAGGGTCTGCACGGTCGGATGGTGGCACCTCTGGGACAGCTTCTGCCCGGCTGTGCACGCGGTTTCCACGCGCTCGCTGCCACCGGCACGGATGAGCCCTGGGTCAGAAGTGGAGTGAGTGACGCGCTGGCGGGCTTCGCCACTGCTGTGTCTTCTTGGAGTGGCATTTTACTCAGAGGCTTGAAGAGAAAAATTCTTTCAATGTTAAAACAAGCCCAGTGGTAATAGGACATCAAATACAAGTTACTAACTTGCATTTTAAACCTAAAACAAGAACTTCAAAGACGTTTTAAGCTAGTGGCGGACTCGAACAACTTGACTGACCATCTCAGGGCCACTCCCTCTTCCCCGGTGCTTTGGGTGCAAGCGTGAGCACCGGTGCTGCTGAGCGTCCCGGCCGGGGTCGGAGGGAGAGGGGGTGCTGGGTGTCGTGCAGGAGAGCCTGGGCCCCGTCATCGTCTCCCTGAGCGCCATCCGGACGCGGGCAGGCTCGGTCTTCGTGGCGGGGCTACTCTTGTCTAGGCTGAAGCTCTGACACAGATCCTGACCCTGCAGGTATTATCGGGGGACCCACGGGGTCATCGTGGTTTATGACGTCACCAGCGCGGAGTCCTTTGTCAACGTTAAGCGGTGGCTTCATGAAATCAACCAAAACTGTGATGATGTGTGCCGAATATTAGGTGAGGCTGGACCCCCCCCGGGGTGGGGACAGTGGCCTGGAGGGTGACAAGGGGGTACTTCTGCAGGGCTGGGCTGACTGTGCTTTGCCTTGAAGTGGGGAATAAGAACGATGACCCTGAGCGGAAGGTGGTGGAGACAGAAGACGCCTACAAATTCGCAGGGCAGATGGGGATCCAGTTGTTTGAGACCAGCGCCAAGGAGAATGTCAATGTGGAAGAGGTGAGGCCTGGGCCCCGGGGGCGGGGACGGGAGGGAGTGGGCCCCAGCTCTGTCCCGCTGATGCAACCCTCCTCTCTCCAGAGCACGTGGGTGCCTGACAAAACCTCCTAGTAACTGCCGTTTCTGGGGGCCTACTGGATGCCAGGCATCGCGCTAGGCCTTTTGCACGTGTTAGCTTGTGTCTCAACAGTCCTCTGACGTGAGGTTCCAAGTTGAGGTCTGTCCCCCAACTTGTAAGAGGCCGAGTCACACTGAGACGCAGCCCACAACCCAGCCACACAGGGTTCCTGCTCAGTCTTCAGCCTCACTGCCCTCCCCGGCGCCACCTGTTACCCCTGTCCGCTCTCAAGGCTTTTCCTGCGGCCTTGGCCTCCCTGCAGACACCTGGTTGCTTCCCTGTGGCCTCCAGGCTTCAGGTGGGCCCCTGCTGCACATCCCCCAGAGGCTTCTGGGGAGACAGGTCTCCTGTAGAGCCGCTGAGCTTCCGGCCAGGGGCAGCTTCCCTTCTGCTAGGCCTGCTGGGAGGTAGTTGAGAGTCTGTGGGAGAGAAGTGGGACCTTTTGCCACAAGCCTAGCAGGCGTTGCTTGTAGCTTCGGGTGAGTCTTGCCCCACAGTGTGTGGAATCTGGAGACCCAGGGAAGCCTGGATCCCCCACTGTGTCCTGGACATCCAACTGCACGGTGACAGGGAACCCAGGTGCCTCGGAGTCAGGCTGGGATCACAAGACGGGCCTTTCTGTGGGACCTGGGGCAGGGACTTCATCTCTCCAGGTTGCTACCTTGTCCTTCTGTAGATCGGGGTGGGGTGAGAGTCCCTGCCTCCTGGGTTGTGAGCAGTAAGTGAAGCAAATTATGTCAAGTGCTTGATGCCTTTCCTGGCAGAGTGGAGGAGAGGACTGTGGGTTGGCGGGCAGTGGTGGGGGGGAATCCACTGGGTCCTGGCACCACAAGGACGTCTTAGGGTGGGGCCAGGGGAGGGTTCTGGGGGGATGTGCAGTGATGTGGCGTGGAGTGGGCAGGCTCTGCGTTCCTCTGGCCTGTCACCAGAGCAGGATTCCAGGTGGAGAGGTTCTCCGTCTCTTTAGAGGAAAGCCTGGAAAATCCCTGAGATTGATTTCTCCCTAAGACACAGCTCTCGGGGCTTTGATGTTGTTCCTTTTTGGCCTTTAGAATTGACCACCTCCTTCTGGAAAGGGTTTGAGGACCTACGTACAAAAAGCCCTCACGAGTAGAAATAGCAAATGGGGAGTGGGGCCCAGGGTGGTGGCCGAGCCGGCGGGCAGACGCGGCTCCGCGATGGGGCTCTCCACACCGGGCCTCGCCGCCGGGTCCGAGGCCCACGCCGCCTCCTCCTTCCTCACAGATGTTCAGCTGCATCACAGAGCTGGTCCTCCGCGCAAAGAAAGACAACTTAGCCAAACAGCAGCAGCAGCAGCAGAATGACGTGGTGAAGCTCACGAAGAACAGTAAACGGAAGAAGCGCTGCTGCTAATGCCCCCAGCCCACTGCAGAGACTGCGCTGCGGCCGCTCCCCGGCCCGAGGCCCCGCGGGGCTCCTCGGGGACAGTCTCAGTTTCGTGCCGTTATTTAAAGAATTCTTTCCACGTTTTTGTATCGGGAGGCGCCACCGTTGGCACTTCCTCCCCTCCCCCCTTGAGTGCCAAGAAGGTGTTGGATGACCTGCCCTTCCCTTCTGGTGCCCCTGCCCCCTGGCCAAGGCACCTGGGCCCGGCGAGGACGCTGCGGGCCGAGCGGACGGATTCACCACATCTGTACATAATGTATATTGCTTTAACCAGCCGCACCACCCTTGGCCTGCTCCGGCTCCGCCTCCTTAATGCCAGCCTGCTGCAGTAGACCCTCCCGTCCCCGCCCCTCCCCGCCCCACCGGGCGGCCAGCGGCTTCCTGAGGAGACAGGATCCAGTTCTAGCCACGTTTTTTGCCAACCTGGGCCGGTGGAGCGGGTCTTCCGTGTTACTTGTTCTCTCCTCCAGGCCGTCGGCTTCTGTCCCTGGCACATAGGGTCTCCCCTCTCTCTGGAGCCTGTGCCGCGTCTCTTCCCTGCCCAGCTCCCTTCCCTCCCCACTACTCCCCGCCCCCCCCAACCATTCTGGCGGGGGCTGGGGGGGGTGAGAACCTGGCCTTGAGGTAGGCCTGGGGGTTCTCATTAGAGGCCTAGCCTTTTGGCTTACGGGAAGACTTGCTCCTGCCTTTTGGTCACCAGATTTCTTGTCCTGCCTTCTAGATGCCTCCGAACTAGAAACCCAGGGAAACCATGGCTTTTAATTTATACCAGCCTGTTTCAGTTCCAACAGAAAGGTAGGGGTGTGTTTGTGCAGGGCTGGGTGCTTGCAGGGGCACTGCGGAGCGTTATTTTAATACATAAAATGAAGCCAAATCAAATGAATTAAGTTCCTCACACTTTCTCTCCCTGAGGTTTGGTTGGCACAGCAGCAAATGTTGTGGCCTCCCCACTTTGGGTCCCATGTTTTTAGAAAAATCGAATGGCTTCCTGTCATTGTGGGGCTGGGCTCTTGGCAGAGCAGCCTTGCCTTCCTGGCCGTTTCTTGGTGGGAAAGGGGAACGGGCCTCCCATCCTCGTCTGCATCGGCCTAGGGCTTTCCACGGAGCTCTGGGGTCCCTGTTGTGGCCCCGGGCACCGAGTGTGAGGAGTGGGCGCCAGGCGCTGCGGGACTGTGGGGTGCCGCGTCAGAGGCGGACGGCAGGCAGCCTTGGGTCATGGACAGGACTGTTTTGGTCCAAAGGCAGCAGGAGGGTTTCTTAGCGGGTGGGAGGGAATGGCAGCTGGGGCTGGGAGCCAGCCAGCTCTGACCCTGGTCCCTGGAGGAAAAAGCCAGGGTCATCTGCACTTGATTACTGTCCCCCTCGGGACACTTCATCATTCACCTTTCCCCTAAAAGGATCACGTAGCCTGGGAGTAATTTATTTCAACACCATGATGTGTTTTGTTAGATTTCCTTTCCTAGGTGATTTCCAGGCAAAGCCCTGATCGGACAATCACATCACAGATCACACTGCAGATTTTCCATGTTAACACTGTTGGTGGGTTTTTAATCAGTAAAAACTGGGGGTTTCTTCTGACCTCTCTGCTTCCCAAGACTGCCAAGAGCCTGTGGTTGTCTGGGAGCAGGACTTCACTGGGGCCACCTGAAGAGGTGGGGGAGCTCTGGGCCTGGGGACGCGGTGCTGTGGAGGGCGGCCGTGGGGCCAGCCGACAGGCATCTTCTGACTGGTGGGGGGCCGGGAGTGAAAGTGGGGTCTCCGTCCTCAGGGCTGTGCGGGGTGACCTGAGGTCCTGGGCAGGATGCAGAGAGCTCGAGACTCCTGGGCGGGCAGCGTGTTCAAGTCTGAGTGTTCACGTGACGTCAGTGTGGCAGTGCTTGCAGATTCGAGCAATAAGGGGAAGGGGTCCTGGAGGTTTCCAGCCCGGGCTAGAAGCTGGCTATGGCTCTGGCCACTGGACGTCCAGACCCAGGTGGTGGGGTGATTTTGGTGACGACAGTGTGCCTGTCCCACTGAGTGTTACACGCATGAATGGGGGGTGGGGGTGGGGAGACTCACAGGGCTGGACTGACGTCCTGGTGGACCTGATGTGAAATTCCTGTTGAACAACAAAACTTTTAAATGGTTTGCTAGGATTATTTCTGTATTGAAAGTTTCTAATTATGCTTTTTAAAAAAATACTAAAAATAAAGGTTCAAGCTGCCAAGTTTTCTCCCGGGGCCGTTTGCTCTCCTGCAGCTGTGGGGGGGCGGGGGCGCCTTCTTCCCGCCCACGGCATTCAGCTCTCGTTTGTTCTGGTCGGAGTTCGGCACAGGTGCCTGCCGAGGCCCAGGGCCACTTTCAGAAGCCGAGTCTGTTTTCCCGCAAGAGGTCGTGCAGTTTGAGCTTCCCCTCCGGTCGAGGCAGAGGTGGGAGGCGCGCGCGCTAAGATGCCCGGGGACGTGCCTGTTTGTTCTCCGCGCGGCGGCCGAAAGGATGCAGCGGAAGCTTCGCCTGCAGGGATTTCTCTGTGGCTCCGAGTTCCTGCCAGGCTGGAGGGCCTGCCCCGGGCGTGGGAAGCCGGGCTGGCAGGGCGCCCGGGGCCAGGGTGCGTGTGGAGGGGGGGCCCGGAGCGCTGTCGTGGCCAGGACGCCTGCGCCCTCCTGGGGAGGTGCCCCCCTTCCTCACCAAGTACCAAGAGAGGAGGGGACCTCCCGGAGGTGTGAGGGACTCCCTCCTGCTGTCTCTCCAGAACCGGCAGCCGGTGGCTCTGAGCCGGAAGCTGCTTTCTGACCAGAGCCCTCCGGGTCCCCCAATGATTAAGGCAGGAAGCTCTGTAGAAACTCATTTTATTCTTTGACTATTTTCAAAAGAAGCAGTGGTGCGCTGTTTTTCTAAAAATATGCCTTTATAGATTTATATAGAATATGTATATTATAAAATCCGTACATGTATTTACAGGATCGCTACATACAAAATTACAGCACTGTGGTATGTACACATCTATAGGTACATTCTTGCCGCTCGTCCCTGCTGTGCTTTCCCCGTGTGAGGGAGGGAGATGATCCTTGGTAAAGCAGCGTGCGGGCTGGCTCAGCCCGGGGGGCCTCTGAGGGGGCCTCAGCAGCGAGGGTGGGGAGGGTGGGGTGGCTGCCGAGGAAGGAGCAGGAGCAGCAGGTTGCAGGATTCAGCCTCCTGCAGGCCTGGGGGCAGTATCTGGCGGCATCCGCCCCGTGGTGCCAGTGCTGCCCTGAGGTGGAGGCGGCGGACGGCAGACTCCTCTGGGGCCATTCTGTGGCCTGGACTCGCTCGGCTGAGCCAAGAACTTGTGTGTGTGAGGGGAGCGGGGGGCCGTGGGAAGAGGAGGAGAGCCCCCGCTCCCGGCTCCGGCGCCTGAAGGGGAAGGACTGGAGGGCTGACACCCGCACACCGGCCGGGGGCCGTGAGGACACGGGCGGCCCTGCGGCCAGGGAGGGAGAACAGTGGCGGCCGAGAGTGGGGTGGGGGCGGGAGGGCAGGGCCCTTCTTCCTCCTGACCTTGGGATGGCGACAGTCAAGCCCCCGGAGGGCCCAGCGGTGGCTGAATGCAAGAGAACAGCCCCGGCTGGTCAGGCCCCGCAGGCGGGCCTCCTGCCGCAGAGGCACTCCAGGCAGAGGTGCATGCACGTGGGCGGGGAGCTGCCCCCCCTTCCTCCCCGGCCCAGAGATCGGGGGAACAGGTGGGGGCTCAGCCTTGGACCTGCTGTCCCAGAGAACTAGCGACCCCCGTCCCCACAGCTCAGGCCAGCTGGGGGCCGTGACGGCTTCCCGAGGCGCGCGGGGATGGCCTCCATTCCTCCTGCTCCCCGTATTCCCAACTAGGAGGCAGCGGTGCCTGGGGCGGGATGGGCGGGAGCCCCCGAGGGGTGGGCGGGGTGGGCCACGATCTGCTGCGTCTGCGTGGCAGAGCCCGAGGCGCTGCTCCGGAGGCAGCCTAGGCCGGGCGTGGCCTGGCAGTAGGGACAGGGCTCCCGCCTGTCCCTCTGTCGAGGGCAGCTGAGAGAGGCCGCGTGGGCTCTTCTGGAGGACCGGGCCCCAGCGTGGGTGGGCAGTGCGGCCGCTGCGCTGGCCCAGGGGAGCCCTCGTGTGCAAGCGTGGTGTGCTGGCGCCTCGCACGCTCAGTCCCCTCCAGTGTACCCACCCCTGCTGGCCTGACTCCTCCCGACCTAAATCTTCCTGAAGAATGAGAAGAGCCGCTTGCCGTCGGCGGTGCTGGGCTCGGCCCCGCGCCCCGCGGCCCGCGCCCCGGGGAGGGCGGCAGCAGGCCGGCTCCGCTCCCTCAGGTGCGTGTCCATCAGCTGCCGGTCGATGACCCTGTGCATGTCGTCCTGCGGGGGGCAGAACGCAGGGAATGAACCCGGGCTCCGACCCGGGGGCGGGCAGCGGGGCGGCACGAGTCAGGACGCGGGATGGGGATGAGATGAGATGGTTGAACGGCTGCAGCCCGCTCAGGCCGGCCAAGAACGCAGCAAGTGTAGACATGATGCCTGGACACACAGGAGCCTCCGACACCGCCGCCGCCTCAGGGCTTCAGGCTTCTGCTGGCTTCGGCTCCGCGGCTGACCCCGTGGCTGGTCTGTCGTGCGAGCCCCGAGAAGCCGAGAAGCCAAAGCTGATCCTTCCCTGTGGCCACCCAGGCCCTGCCTGTGACTGGCTGCCTCTGCCCTGCCTCCTGCGTCCCTCGGGGCTGGCTGTGCCTTTCCCTCCCTGGGCCCTAGGGCGACCTCTGCTCGCCAGCTCTCCAGTCCAAAGGGTCGGCTCCAGGGACCTCTCCTGCCCCCTCACCCCTACAAGTTCTGCCTGCTTCGTGGATGCCCAGGCGCCACGGGCTCCCTCAGCCCTGCCCTCGCCCACAACCAAGCACACTCGCTGCAGCCTTCCGCGTGTGGCTCGGGCCACGGCATCCCTGTCTTCAGGGCCTGACTCGCTCCTGCTTATTAGCGCACATCCCTGGCTTCCTCCCTGGGTCAGCACCTTCCCCCAATTTGCTAAACTTGCCTAAGAGATGCCCCTCACCCCAAATGCCTTACAAGCACAGCGGATGTATCCCACGGAGGGGGTCTCTGGACAGAGCAGCACCGCCCGCCCTCCTTTCTAGTGTTTCGATCCTGACTCTGCACAAGAGTCTGCTTGGCAAAGGCGTCCTGCTGCCAGCAAAGCTCGCAAGCTACTGCTTTGAACGTCGAAACAGCCCTGTCTGGTTAACGTGAGCGGGAACAGAGCCAGCATCTGCCCGATGCCTTCACCCCTAAACCCAGTGGGCTCTGGGACGCCCTGGTCAAGACACCAAACCCTGGCTTAACGCCTGGGACGAGCCCGCAGAGCGTGTCCTGCTTGAGCGCTGGACAGTGAGGGCTGCGCTCAGGCCGTGCTCAGGCCGCCACTCGACAAGGGCAGGAAGTGGGGCCAGCGCCCCCCGCTCCATCACCTCCTGTGCTCACACCCGTGCTTCTGTCACTCCAGGTGTTTGTGTGAAACAAAGGGACTTTTCTTACCCCATACCTTCCTAGCAAGCAGCGAGTGTGGGCCTCCTGCTTCTCCCTCCCTTGTTCACGTCCTGCTCTTTCCTCACACTCAGCTGCTTTCCAGTTCCTCCTCTCTTCGCAGAAGTAGGGGACATGCTCCTCCCAAGTCCCAGTGCCGAATCCTGGGCACGGCACCCTGTGCTTAGGACCTGCTCAATAAAATCCGTTCCCTGCAGCACTATGGGAACGTAACCGGCTCCTTCAGAAAGAAACCCTTTCAAAGTGCTGGTGGTTTTACTGGCCCACTGCAAACCACATCTTTTACACCTTAACGTGCATCAGGGTAGGCCCATGAAATAGATCACTGTAGAACTTCATACACAGGAGTGAGCCACTTATGATTCCACACCTGCCAGTACTTCTGTGGGCAAAAGAGCCCAGTGATGGGGAGGGAGCACTGAGAAACCAGGGCCGAGGCAGTCAGAAACGGGCCGGCCTGCCAGTCCTGGGCCGCGGCGGTGGCGGGAGGCACGCTGCGGGGGATGGCACGGCACACACTGCACAGAGATGACGCCGGACGCCGGCACACACAACACGGCGGGCCACGGGAAGGCGGGGGCGAGACGGCGATGGCGGTGGGGGACACGGTGGGTGGAATGGGGGCTTGATCTCACCTCAAAGGCAGGAGGGGTGTACAACTAAAGCTGTTGATACGGGAACTGAGAAAGGCCACTAGATCAGAAACCAAAGGAGCCAGATAGTAAAAAGCCCTGAGGAAGCAAACTGTAGCCAGGAGAGAAGAGAGAAGAATGGGCGGTAAGCCGGTGACCGGCCAGCTGCTGGTGGGCCAGAGCCCAGGAGCCAGGAACCATCTCCCAGGGGAGGGGGGTCAAGTGCTCCTGTGGCCAGGCTAGCCAGGCCGTTGGAGGAATGGTGACTGTTAACCTGCCCGCCAGTGGGGTGCTTTTCATCTGTCTGCTTCGGATTTGGGGACCGGGGGGGGCGGACACGAATGGTTACACCCATATCCTGAGATTGTCCGATCTGGATCTCATTAACAAAAAGCAAGTACAGCCTGGCCCAGTGGGGAGCAGAGCTGGGGCTGGGACGGAGGAGGCTGAGGCACTCTGAAAACGGTGGTCCTAGAGAAGACACACGGACTCATTTTCCCCGGGGGTAGTGCCCTTTGGAAAAGGAAGCTGGCCTTTGAGAAAGGGAAGGGCAGCAGTGGCTGGCAGCCCAGGGGCTGCAAACTACATACTTCCAGCTGTGAATTTTCGTCCCACCATGTAGGGCTTCTGGGGCCCTTTGTGATAACAGCTGTTTCTTTCCAGCTGATTTAAACAGAGTGGAGACGACCAGCCGAGGGAAGCCCCTGCCCCAAACCCGGCGGCCACTGAAGCCCTAAAATTTGGCAATGCCTGGGGCTCACGGCTTGGGACAGCGTCCTCAGGCCTGCTTCCCTGGGGACTGGGGGAGCGCAGGCTCTGAATCTCACCAGGTGAAGATGGGTTACTGCTCACCCACGTGCGCAGAACCCTCTAGTAACAAATTCTCCTAATATTCTGCCTGGATTCAGCAGCTCCTCCCAGAGCCTCGTCTTCCCTCAGCCTGGATCTCAGGAACCTCCTTACCTGCCAAGCCTCAAGCTGCTGCGAGAGGTTCAGTTTCTGCTGAATGGCATCCAGCAACTGGCTGTTCAGAGACATCATGTCCATCTTGCACTTGGCGAGTTCCAGTTCCACAGCATTCTTCCTAAAAACAGACAGGCTGGGTGAGCATGGGCTCCTTGTACCAGAGGCATCTGACTCTTTACCTGGGGCACCTGGAGTCCAAAGGGTAGAGGAAACAGGCTGCGACCAAACTTACAACACATAGGAACTGTGACAGTAACTAGGATGTTTCTTGCAAAGGACTGGAAAGTTCCCAGCATGGGTTCACATCCATTTCCTCAACTGTTGTTAACAACGTGTAGGTGAAGGGACTACCTGTCCTCCCCATCTCACAGAGGAAGGGGGCCTCAGGAAGGAGGATAAAGGAGGACTGGAACCCAGAGGACATCAAAGGCCTCGCAGGGCACTAAGGAGAGGCTATCATTCCCCCATAAGACCCAACCCCAAGGGAGGTGAAGACCTCGTTCTCCCAGCCCCTCCTTTTCAAGAGCAACCTCCCCCCACGTAAGGGATGTGTCCTAAAGGCGCGCAGGTGCGCAGAAGTAGCCACACAGTGGGGATGATCACAGCCTAGCTGATCACAGTCACCAACAATCAGGGCACTGGTGGCAAATTATGGGTTGGAACACGGTCGCCAGTAACAACCATGACACTGAATATCCATTACTCAGACCGGGGGGAAATAGGATGTATTGCTGAACAGAGAAAAGCACCCCAAGCCAACGTCCGCTATGGCGCTAGCTTATAAAAGAAAAACTGCCTGTGTGTACTTAAAGGTCATACACAACGTCCGCTTGGCTCGCTCTAGGTGATCAGTGATGGGCTCCCACATACTCCTGCACTTTGTGTTTTCACATCTTAATATTTCATATATTACTGTTTGCCTTTTCCAACATTCCTACAACAATGCAACAGAAAAAAATTTTTTTCCGGGGTGGGGAAATGATAAAGTGCGAGAGGCTGAGCATCTTCTGCAGAGGCACTGGTTGCCCGGCTGCCAAACGGGGCATTCCTTAGCCCCTGTCATCAACTGCCTTTTGCATTCGAAAACGGCAAAGCAGAACCGCCCCACGCACCCGGCCGGCGACCGGGGTGCACGTCCCAAGGACGGCTGGAGGACCCGCCTGGGGAGGCTGCCGGCTGCAGCAAGCTGAGCACGGCTGAGAGGCGGGGCAGTGGGGGTAAGGCACGCGGGGCCACCGCTGGGACCCGCATTTCCTCTCCGGCCTCAAGCCCGATCCATGAGTCACCTCCCCTGACACCTCAGGGCCGCACAATGTCGCCCCACCCGCCTTTCCCACAGAAGCGTCTGGAGAGCTCGCACCACCCCGGTCCGCCCGCCGCACTGCGGTTGAAAGGACAGGAGCAGGGGCCGTCCAATGAGCGCCGGCGTCTCAGACGCCTCAGGCTGCCGTGTTACACCCGCTGCCATTGGCTGCAGGCGGCGGGCGGAAATCCTCACGCGGCACCGTTGCCATGGACGCCGGGCCGGCCACCCCCGCAGTCGGGAAGAGCCGCGCCAACCCCTGGCTCCGGAGACCTCGGCAGCCTCCTGAGCTGCTGGGCGTCTCCCGGCAGGTGGCGCCACGAGAAGCCCGGAAACCCCGGAACGTGCTGACCGAGACCTCCGCGCGGACGTCCCGCAGCAGCTGTGCGGCCAGGCCGGCAGGGGGTCCCCTCCTTCCCCAGAACCGCCGCATCCCAGGGATCGTCTGTTCGCTGGAGAGTCTCAGGGCTTTTCATTCCCGAGAGCCCCAGGCCCGGAGAGCTAAGCCGCGGAGCCTGCTGATGCATACATTCATCAGAATTTTAAGCATTATCTCAAAGGGCTAGAAGAAGTCCTTATTTAAATGAAACCGCTAGTAACGGACTCCTTGTTGTTTCTGTGAGGCAGACTGCCAGCCCCAGATTTTTGCTTTTAGTGACTTTTACCTGTAGGTGACGAAGCCGTTACTTAACTTTTCTGAAACTCATTACTGTGCAGGATAAAGAACACCTTCAGGTTTCTGTAGCCCAAGGAGAGAGGAAAGTTATTTTTCCTGGGGGTTCTCACCCCTCACTATGCACTAGACTCACCCGGCGGGGTAGGGGCACTTCTAAGAAGTAGCTCCAAACCAGGAGATTCAGAATGAAATGCTCCGGAGAGGGCCCTGGCTTCCAGGGAGTCCCCGGATGATTCCAAAGTGCAGTGAGGACGGACAGAGATGATGTGTAGGAAAGCATCTTGTAAAGCCCTTAAGGTCCTACACAAAGTGTGCTTCCCCCACATTTGAATGATTCTTTAGGTCTGCTGTCTCAATTCTTTACACCAAGAGCTTAATTTCTAAGGGACAGAAAAAGAGCAAACCTGCTGGAGTGATCTGACCCCCTCCCTCAGCCCCAGCCTTATTACACAGGGTCCACGAAGGACAAAGGCCTCACTGAACAATGCTGAGTATCCCGGGAGGACAGTCTGCTCATCAGCTCAGTCAGACACTGGGAGGTTCACTGGGCCACCTTTGGCAGAAGGCAAAGTCATGCATTTTAAGGTTTCGTGGAGACTTGCTGGCCTCCCCAGTCCCCCATATGTCAGAGGTAGGTCCCGCTTATTTTAAGGGAGAGGACTAGGCAACTTCTGTTTCTTCCTTCCTGCACCCTGGTACGTTCTCTGGTTGTACCTCCCACCTCCTGTGCTGATGGCCGAATACGGTCAGAGCCGGATGTTCAGCTCTCATTGGCTTGTCTGGCGGAGAGAAGGTGACCAGCCATTCTCTAACTCCATTCTGCTTTTTATTCCCGACAGGCTTCTACAATTAGCACCTCAATTTTACCATTTTATTCCCTAACTGTATGACACAATTTCACCCTTTGTTATTCATGAAAGTACGCTCCCACTCCAAAATATTCCAGGGCTATTCAAGTATTCACTAATGAATCAAATATTCTCCAGGAGTCCAGTGGCAGAGAGGCCTGGGTTTGTGAGCCTGAGTGTACTTCCTAAAGGAACTGGAAATTGTCAGACAGGGTCACCGGAGGTCCTGGCCAGAGAGGCAAGGGGACGGAAAGGTAGAATTAAGTAATGGAGATGATGAAATGATTAGAGAGCTAGCAGAAGGGAGTGGACAAGTGTGTGTGGAGGTGAGAAGGGGAAAGGTGTGGGGGAATTTCAAAGTCAGAAATTAAAATGTGTTGTGTTACTTTTTAAAAGGGTATATAGTATCTATTTACAATTTACTTCAAATGGGCTCCTTTTAGTTTGCTGACAAGCAGCCTGGGTGGTAAAAGGAAAGGATGTGGGGACAGGGGTCAAGAGACCTGAGGGGGAAGCCAGTGATCACTACTGGCCGTGCAACTGGGGAAAGCATCTCAGTTTCCTCCTCTGTAAAAACTGGGATTAAAAATTTTAATTCTCGCTGTGACTGACAGGATCCAAGGGTGAAGTGTTTTGTAAGCAGTGAAGTGACACAGACGTTTTGAACGTTTGAATGTGTTGCAAAGTGCCCCATGAGCAGACATTTTCAGTACCTTTTATCTCCTCACAGTGAAGAGGGCAGATTAAATGCATGATAAAGAGTCATTTGAAGGGCGATGGGGAATATGTAAATTTTTTTTGCCTATGCACTTCCGAATTTTTTTAATGTAAGAGAATGCATTTCTTCTCTGCTAAAGAAAACCCAAAACACTATTAAAATATGACCCAGCTTACTGGGGATACAGGTGAGAGAAAACTGCTGAATGACACTCTGAGGACCCATCAGACCCAGAATGCGGACAAATCATCAGTGTCTTCAATAAACAGAGGCCATGTGAGAAAAGGATGGGGGGGAGCTTAGGTCCATATCAACTAGACGGGGTTTGTGGGCTTTGGAGGCTGATTCTAATCAATCATAAAAGGACATTTATAGGGCAACTGGTTACTAGATGATATTAAGAAATTACTGAATTTATATTACTGAAGAAGAAGAAGAAGAAATTACTGAATCTATACTGAAATGTTTATGGATGAGATAAGGGATCTTGTGATTTGCTTCCACACAGTTCCACAGGAACGCAGCGGGTGGGATGTAGATGAAACAGTCAGCCATATGCTGATTAGGGTTGAAATCAAAAGACAGGTAGGTAGGGACCCATCTTATTTTTTTCTACTTTTGTGTATGCTTGAAAATGCCCAAAATAAAAAGTAACAAAAATTCCCCTAAAAAAAGAAACCCCTAAACATAAAGAAGTTGAGGTAGAGCGATATAATGAAGTCGGAAAGCTAAGATACACAGACACGCAGAGCATCGTCCCATCAATACTTAAAAAAAACCCAAACAAGCACATACAGCTGGATACACCCAGAAAAAAGATCTGCACGGACCACACATCCGACCTCCAACAGTAGCTTCTGTCTGGGGAGAAGAACCAGATTGGGAGTGAGGGTGGCTAGCAGGGAAACACTTTCACTTTTGTCGTCTTCTGTAGCATTTCATTTTTAAAACTGAGCTCATACTCATGTTGCTTGTGATTAAAGTAAAATTCGACAAACCATGCCCACTCACTTTGCAATGGCCTCGTCGCGGTCCCGGATGGCCTTCTGAAGCTGCTCCTTTGGCTCCTTGTCCTCAGATGTCACTCTGAGTCGGTCTCTCTCCTCCTTCAGTGCAGTCATCTCCACACTCAGCAGTGTCACCTGATGGGAGACCACAGGGATGAATGTGGGGCTACCACTGCTGCTGGCCTGAGGGGTTGCCCTGAAAGAGGCGGAAAGGAACAAGCAGCCCCAGGTGGGTGCTTGTAGCTTCCCCAGGTCCCTGGCTCTGAGAGATGCCCAGCTCTTCCGGAGAAGGGATGCCACAAGCTAGGCTAGAGCCCACTGGCAGGGGCGTGGGGGTGGGGGATGAAGTTCAGCCCCGGACAGCAGCCACAGGGGTCAGATCCCCTTTGGACGTAGCATTCCACACCAACATGTCCATTTCAAGGCACTGGCGGGTACTAATGAAGACCACCCATGCATCAGGGCTCTGAAACACAAGGTTAGGGGTAGGGACTCAAGTTTTGTTCCCAGCCATCTTCCACTCAACAAGGAACCTTGCTATGCACAGGGCCCTGGCAAAGCCTGGCTCCCATTTCTGTGAGGTACTTGATGCAGCCTGGTCACTCAGCTTCCCTGGTCAAAGCCATATGGAATTTAGACACCCACATGATACCATTTTTCACTCAAGCCTGTTACATTTTCTGTAGTCCATGCCTCAGTGAATGGTCCCACAGCCTATTCACGGGGGGTCATCCTTTGATGGTAGGGTGCCCTTCCTTGTGGCTCCCTCAGTGACCACAGCTTACCCCACCCAGTGTACAGGAACCCTCTGGACACCTAAGGTTCTGCAGTGGTAGGAAGCGTGTCTCATTCATCTGTGCATTTCAGAGCCTGACTCTATGATGCTCAATCTGAAAATGCTTGTGCAGGACACAATTGTCTTCTTGGCTAGTCATCATTCCAAATGCACTCCTCCTTGAGGGACATTCCTGGTTACATGAGTCTTGGTGAGAAACAGGGGATGCCCTCCCAGTAAGGTAGCCAAAGGGGAGAGACATATCCTTTCCTAGGCACACAGACATGGAAAGGTGACCTAGATGTGTGAGTCACATCTCCCTGCCTGGGACTGCCATTCTCGAGGGTTCAGCAAAGCCACAGGTCAGGGGGAAATTATTACACGGATAGCAGACTGCTTCTGTGGCCCCACTTCCTATGGCTCCTTTCTGTTTTGGAGCTTGGTTCTCCAGCCTTCCTGCGGATTCTGTTAGCTATCAGATTTAATTCCAATGCAGTCTCTCTCTTCTTAAGTTAAGCAGAGAGAGTTTTTGTTGTTTGCAATCAGAAACCCTGCTTGGTAGAACTTTCAGTAAATATTTGTTGAATGAATGAAAGGGTGGGAGCCCCTTCTCAGTCAGTAGGCTCAGACTGGAGTCAGGATGCCCGGCCCTGCCCTCTTGTTAAATATTACATACTTGGACATTTTCCCAAGGGAGGATCTATCCATATGGGTCTAGTCCTCCTCCTAGGGGACAGATGCACACTTTGGGTGTACTCCCCTCCTCAAGTCCCAGGCCTCAACATCTTCAGACAGACTGAAATTGAGCAAAGACCCCAGAGCAAGGCTGAGGATCCAGCTTCCCTGAAGATGCTTCGGGCCCCCAGACTGAGGCGGCATGGTGGCCCTCTCTGGGGTAGAGGTACTTGGGAAGAAATCAGAGGACGGCCGATAATGAAGGGGCATACAGGGCAATTGTTGTTACTGGGGACAATGGATTTTGTACTCTTAGGGTCCTGGCACGTCAGCACCAGGTGATCTGTGCTTTCATGGTGGGGACAGCTGCAGTGAGCAGGGCTACTGGCCACAAGGAAGAACAGGCTGGGGCGCCTGCAGAGGCCACAGGGTGTAGCTAGTCCTGAGGCAAGCAGGCAGCAGGTAAGAAACCCAGCCTTACCCTTCTTACTAGCAGGTCCTGTAGCCTGGTAGGCCTGAAACTCAAGACCCAGAAAGTACCTGGCAGAGAGAGAGCCAGACCTTCTCCGACCAAATCAGCCCTAACATGGCCTCAGGCTGGCTGTGTGCCAGACAAGGGTTTTGCCAGCCGAGTAAGCTATAGATAAAACAGATAAAACCACATGTGAGGCACGAAATGCCAAAATTTAATAGGTTCCAGAAAAAACTCCACAAGAACTTTTTGTTTTGGTCTGGAAAACTTGGTCAAGGTAGAGACGGACCATCAGCTGTCTTAGAAGTGACAAGGGACTTCCTTCTTCGAGCTGCACATACTTTTCATAAAAAACAGGAATAAAAATAACTAGTTCCCACCATCAGGTTGTTGTGAGGCTCAAATGAGGTAACTGACACCAAGGACGGAGCTGAGCACCCCGCGGCAAGTTCTACGCCCTTCTCTTCCCCACACCGGTGCGGACCTACTGCTGGGGCCGTCATGAGGACTGGCCCGGCCTGTTTACACACTGACTCAGGTGACAGCCACCCTTAACTCCACTTTTCCCACATAAAGTAGGTGTCCTCATGAGTGAACAGGATCAAAGAAAATATCCTGGAGTCATATATCCAGGGTTTTCTTTGCCCATTTGATAATTATTTTTGTGCCTATTCTAGGTAAGGCTTGTGCTAGACGCTTTAAGAGAAGACAAAGAGAAGTCAGACCTCAAGCTTGTCCTCGTGGGGGCTAAGGTTTAAGTGGGTAGATGAGATGGAAGCGAGGGTGGCCATAACAAAGCAGAGCTGAGGCTCCAGGAAGAAGGGAATCAAGGGTTTGAAGGAAGAAGTGAAACCTGAAGGATGAGTAGGGCTGATACGCGCAGGTGGCCGGGGAGAGTCTTTTGGACAGGGGCCAAGGGCCAGAGAAAAGGCCCAGATGTGGGGAAGCACAGAGAGTGTGCGCCCTGCCCTTTCACAGTCTGTGTTCAATCGACTAACGCACAGGAGGGGAGATGAAACAACGGGGAAGGAGGCTGGATGGCTTCCATGCAGCCAGTCTGTGGGGCTGTGAGAGTTTGAGGCTTCCAGCCACGGGGCAAGAGGAAGTCGACTAGAACCTGTTTCCAAGCTGTGCTTCAGGAAGATCAATCCAAATCATGTGTGGGGTAAGTGGGCTGGGGAAGTGATGGCCAAAGCCACGGTGTGACAGCATGAAGGTCTGAAACAGGGCGATGGCTAGGAAGCTGGAGGAGAGAGAGCACAATGAGATTTCACACAGGAGGGGCCACCCAGATGGCCTTACGTGACCACGGCCTTACGTGTGCCCAGTACGTGCTCTACCGCATGGTCATGGCCCTGTGGGGAGAACTGGCTAGTGCTCCAGTCAAGCCCTATAAAGGAACCAAACATAGGACGGGGACTATTTCTTCCTTCCTTCCTTCCTTTAAGATTTCCTTATTTATTAGAGAGAGAGAGCGCGTGCACGTGCACACGCTTGTAGGGGGAGGAGCATGGAACCCAAGGAGGGGCTCTATCCCAGGACCCTGAGATCATGACCTGAGCCAAAATCAAGAATCAGCTGCTTAATCGATTGAGCCCCCCCCAGATGCCCTGGGCCTGGGACTATTTCTCGGTGCACCTCCCACAGCCTGGTTTACCGACCTGGGGATCGGTGGAGGGGCTCCCCAGATAACTGGTTTTCCTATTGCTCTGAACGTCCTCTCTGCCTCCCAGCAGCTGCTCCAGACCCCAGTGAGCCCTGCCCAGGAGGGAGCAGGAGCCTGCAAAGCTGTGGGGAATGAGCAGGCTAAGCAGGGATGGGAGCTCTCCATGGCCTAAGGGTGTGGGGAGGTCTTCGGGTTTCTGGTTACAGATTCTTGTCTCAAACGTAACTATCAGTTAAAATTAAACTTGGGCTCTCTTTTACTTAAAAATTTGGATAGGCTTCTGGGGGGCTGCTCACTTTCCCTTCCAGGTCCTATAGCTGTTACGTCTGGCTCAGTTTCCAGGAGAAAAAAAGAACACTGTCGGCGGGGAAAGCAGCGGCTCGGAGGCCGGATCACTCGGTGGATGAGGCTTCACCCTAGTCTAGCGGCGGTCTGCTGGCACTTCGGTTTCACACAACTATGTCTGGGCTCTGGCCCTTCCTCCCCGTCGCTCCACACCCCAAAGAGGACAGAGCTAGTTGGAGTCCTCTCAGCATTCTAAGAGAGGCTGTGGAACCCAAGGGCATCCATCCTGAGCACCTCAGGGTCTAGAGCAGTGCAGGCACCCAGGGAGGGCGAGGGGCCCGCTCGAAGGGCCACCGTGTCCGAGGCACGCTATAGTTCGGTCTGTGTCCTTCCCGCTGTCTTGGGAGGTCGGTGTTACCCCCATGGGCTGGTTCTGGATAGATGTACTTTGGCTGAGAGATCTGCTGCTTTGTCTAAGCTTTTGGGAAGAGATGACCCACTCAAGAGGCCCAGTTCCATACCCCATGGGGCTGAGCAGAACTCTCTGCTTGATGGCATAAACCACTTATCAGCTGAAGTATTAAGGAGACAGGCTTGGAGAGAGCTGGACCCTCAGCCACCCGTGCCTTGCTCTGGTTTCTCAACAACACCCCCAGCTCTTTCTAGCTCTGCTAGTCTGAGAAGCAACAAAACAAACCAGCCAATACCAGAGAGCTGATAGGAAGCACCCCCACAAAAATTTAAGCGGGCTTTCAAGTAAATGAAACTTTTATTCACCCAAAGAACGGTCAGATCCACCTTGTCCTGTTTTCTGATTCTTAAACAGTCTGAAGACCCGAGCTGGTGTCTGAACCACCCCTGGCCAAGCGACCGCCTGAGCGACTCAGGCTTTGGGCATGACAATGTCCTCGGCTGCCCAGTTCCGTTCTTTGGGGCCTGGGCAGAAACAAGCTACAGCTTTCAAGAACATCATTCTGTCCTCCCTGTACGGTCACTCCCAGAGAAGAGTACGGCAGTAGTTGCGGGAGGGTCTCCCAGGATCTTTCAAGAAAATTATATTAGGATGTCCAGTGGGTATGAGCCCCAAAATCAGTCTATTTCTATAAGGCCCTTTAAATTTAAGAAATACTGACTGACGCAAAAGCCAGGCTTAACCTCCATCTCTCAGCGACCTGTGGCGGCAGGGAGGGATGACCAGCTTCGGACGAGGGAGGAAGGGGGCGCAGGCTGGGTGGGGGCAGGAGTTAAAACGCAATCTGTTTGGTGTCCCTCACACGTGGGACAGAACACTACCCATGAGCCCTGTCAAAAGGAAGCGCCTTATCTATTTCTAGGACAGAATCTAGAAGCTCCTGTCTGGGTTGGGGGCTGCTCCTGAGCGCTTTAGAATATTTCAGACTGGAATACAGATGTCCTTCTCCAGGATTCTCGAGAGAAACGAAATGACGATCAAACAGAAGCGGAACAGCAAGAGCAGCAGTAAGTGCTTCTGAAGCTGAAAAACAGGCTGGCAGAGGTGACGGCGTCACAGAGCGAGAATAGGCCGGCGAAGATCAACTGCTTCTTGGTTTGCAAACTTCCCTGCTTAGAAGCTGCTGGAAAAACATCCGTGAATGTCCTGAGAGCTATGGCACTTCAAACTGTCAGAATCCGCCAGATAATCTGGGCTCTGTGGAAGGTAGCACGTCACTGGAGGAAATGGGAGGGTCAACTATTCTTATCCCTAACAATTTTACTTTGGGCTAAACCAGAGGGTTGGCTGCTTCTCTTGAACACGCCCAGCTTACCTCAACTTCAGGTCACTGTCCTCTGAGGACCTGTCAGGGGAGAGCCACTTCTCATATAGACGAGGGAGAGGGAAACTCATGAGGGTCCCAAGACACCTTGGGGGACACATGCACATTTCCTGCTCAGGACTGAGGACAGGGGTGCTCACCTGACTGTGGAGTTGCTGCAGCTCCTCTAGGCTTTGCCTCAGTTTACCCCTCTCTCCCTCCATGAGTTCCCTTAGGGCTCTTGAGTCCTCACTGGTCTGCCTTATCTGTTCTTCTAAGGAGTCATCGTCAATTCTCCGGGAGCTCTGACAGTAAAAGAGAAAGCCACCAACCCGAGAGATGGTACAAGCAGAGGTGGGTGCGGTGAGACGGTTAGTGGGAGGGAGAGGGGAGGTACGGGGAGGGGGTAGAGATGGGTTGGTTTGGAGGAGAGCAGGATAAAGGAGATGAAGTGGGAGGTGGAGGGAAAGAAAGGGAGAGAAGGAGGAGAGAGACACAGGAGGGAAGAAAGAAAGGGTTATAGGAGAGAGACTCTCTTGCCCAATTTGGATCTGCAAACATTAGCCAGATATTTATTTTGGTTTCAGGCTTCAGGGGAGGTAAGTCAACACCTCACTCTGACCGCTCCCATGCCCCATGATGACCCAGTCTCCACAACTAGAGCACATTCCACAATCCACACGGCACCTTCAGGTAAGGACAGCCACCCTCTCACAGGACTTCATCTAATATGGGGAGAAAGATGTTGACTGTTCTGTAGGAGGACAGGCCCTGAAGAGAGACAACTGCCTGAGAGTCAGGGGTGTGAACGGAGAGTAAGTCTGGCAGAAATCTGTCACGAAGTTGGAAGAAATGCCAGTCTGCCCAGGGAGCCCACGGGAACATTCTTCTCCTCCACAAGAAGAGCCACATCTGGAATTCTAAAAGGCCCTTGTTGATCTTCTCAACTTTCTGTGCTCACTTGTGTCTTTTTAGCAGAAGCTCCAGATCTTTTAAATTTGTCTATTTGCAGCTACTCCACCACCAGGACCAAAGAGCTACAGAAAAGAAACTTGCAGTTTGCACCTAGGTCCAAATTTCTGTATTCAAAGCTTCCAAGGAAAGTCCTTGACCTTGAGGCCACCATGGCCTGGACTTAACCATACGGAGAAAGGACTCCACTTGTATGCCAGTGTCTTCGGGAAGATGACTCTGGAACCTCCATTCCCTGACACTCTGTCCCTCTGCCCGGTCACCAGTGTAGACTGCTCTTGGACCATAAGGGCTCTGACAACGTTCTCAAAGACTCTGCAAGGCTCCCCCTCTGGGATTAACCTCGTCCCCCTGCACTTGCCTGCAGCCTCCCACCAGCCAGGTTGTGTGGGCTGAGGAGCTTCTTGGCCTGGCTGCTTACCGTGGGCTCCACGCCGTCCACGATGCTCTGTATTAGCCTCTTGAGCTCGCTCAGGGCCGTGCGCAAGCTGCCGGCCGGCACATCCTTGGCAGATGAAGTCTCTGAAGACTCGTCCATCGAGGAGTCCGTGGAGACGGCCGAGTCGGCACTGTCGTTCCCTCGGAGGTGCGAGCAGAGATAGCGAACTTGGCAGTAGGCCTCCCAGAGCTGCAGTCTCAGCTGCCCCACAAAGAGCCGTTCTTGATTATGGACGCTAGAGAAGACTGTCCCTGCTCATCTTTTTCTAGCATAGGAACCCAACATACTGACACCCTAGAGACTAGTACTAGGAAAAAAGATTTTCCTTTTATAAATCACCTGTCCTAAGAAACACTCGTCCTTGTTCTGGGCCTAGTACATCTATGCAGACCCCCAATTCTTAATTCCCCAGCCCTCCCACCTCCCATGTGTCATATAAGCACTTCCTTATATAGTTGATTACTTTGATAGAGGATCATGATTAGGGGAGTAAGTGGTTAGTAGTAGTATGAAAAGAAGCCATCTGGATAGATCGTGAGTGTTCTAGAGCCCAGTCAGTGCAAGAGGATGAGGCTGAGGATAAGCCAACAAGCCTCTCCTAGGAGGCAAGGGGGCAGCAGTGAGCCCGGGACAGGCTGTGGTCAGGGCCTGCTTCCTGATGGCTCTGCCAGCAGGCCTAGGCTTCCGCAGGTGCACGCCACAGGCCCTTGCGGGGAGGAAGCTGAAATGGTAGGCCCTGGGCCACAAGAAGGATGGACAGGCTCCCGCAGTCCGGGGCCTGCCCCTGTGGTCCCAGGGCAGCCTCACATGCCAGAGGGACAGGGTATCAGCACCTGCTCTCTCTCTTGCTCCAGCTCCTCGGCCTCCATGCTCTGTTCTATCTCGGACAGAAGGGACGTGCTGGTGGCAGCGGAGCTCTGCAGGCTCCTCTCCTCCATGAGCTCGTCCACCTTCACCTGCAGCTGTCGGTAGGAGAGTCGTGCCTCCTGGAGCTCCAGCTGGCTCTGATGCAGCTTTCAAAAGAGACGACAAACGGTCAGTCGTGAAGCTTTCCCCAAACGAAAACAAACAAGAAAAACTGACCCCAAACCTGATCATGCTTGTATGTCTGACCCCCAATTTACAGAAAAATACAGAAGAGAGAATATGCTAGATTACATTAGGGGTGTGCAGGGAGTAAATTCCACGTTTGGGAAATTCTGCAGGACAAACAGCTCAGCTTCCTTAACATACACATGTTAAGAAAAAAAGAAGAGATAAAGGGGGAACCATAGATTAAAAGAGATTCAAGAGACATATTAACTAACTGCGATGTGTAGGCCTATTTTAATTTGCATCTTGATTCAAGTAAAAAATGTGAAGAAACAATTATGACATTTATAAGAGTTAAAAATTTGAACACTGGCTATTTGATATTAAGAAAACATTGTGGGGCACCTGGCTGGCTCAGTCAGTAGAGCATGTGACTCTAGATCTTGGGGTTGTGAGTTCCAGCCCCATGTCGGGGATGGAGCCTACTTAGAAAAATTAAAAATAACCTACCTTAAAAAAAATTATTTATTTATTATTTGATAGGGAGAGAGAGAGAGCGAGAGAGGGAATACAAGAAGGGGGAGTGGGAGAGGGAGAAGCAGGCATCCTGCAAAGCAGGGAGCCCAATGCAGGGCTCGATTCCAGGGCCTGGGATCATGACCTGAGCAGAAGGCAGATGCCCAATGACTGAACCAGCCAGGAGTCCCTAGAAAAATAAAAAATTAAAAAAAAAAAAAGAAAATACTGCTTTTTTCCCTTAGGTATAATAGTCCTGTGGCTATTTTTTTTTTTTTTAAGATTTTACTGATTTACTTGAGAGAGCAGAGTGCACAAGCAGGGGGAATAGCAGAGGCAGAAGGAGAAGCAGGCTCCCCGCTGAGCAGGGAGCCCAACATGAGGCTTGATCTCAGGACCCTGAGATTCTGACCTGAGCCGAAGGCAGATACTTACCTGACTAAGCCACCCAGGCATCCCTGTGGCTATGTTTTTTTAAAGTTCTTATTCTTTATTTACAGATGAAATTATAAAAATTCTGGGATTTACTTCAGAATAACACAAGAGATGGGGCGCCTGGGTGGCTCAGTGGGTTAAACCGCTGCCTTCGGCTCGGGTCGTGATCTCAGGGTCCTGGGATCGAGCCCCGCATCAGGCTCTCTGCTTGGCAGGAGGCCTGCTTCCCTTCCTCTCTCTCTGCCTGCCTCTCTGCCTACTTGTGATCTCTCTATGTCAAATAAATAAATACAATCTTTAAAAAAAAAAAAAGAATAACACAAGAGAAGCAAGTAGATGTAATGAACTTAGGGTAGGACTGGCTGGGGCTCAGTGGTTTGTGTAGCTGGCAATGGGATGCGTGGGCCATCATCACATTATTCTATTTTTGAATTTGTATGAAATTCTCCATATTAAAAAATAAACATACACATAGAAAGGCACACAAAGTAAGGTATGATGAAGACTCTCACCAGAATGACTAAAATAAACAACAAGATAATAATGGTCACCAAGCACTGACGAGGATGTGGAATGTTTGGGACTCTCACTGCTGTCGGGAATGAAGATGTACAACCACTCTGGGAAACCGGCAGTGTCCACTGCCACTGTCCCACAACCGCAGTCCCACGACCTAGCAGCTCACTTTTAGGTGCACATCCAACACGAATGGCTGGGTATGTGCGTGCAGGGCAAACAGGATGTCTATAGCAGCATTCTTCTTCTTTTTTTAAAATGTTATTTATTTATTTGACAGAGATCACAAGTAAGCAGAGAGACAGGCAGAGGAGGGGGGGGGAAGCAGGCTTCCTGCTGAGCAGAGAGCCCGATGCGGGGCTCGATCCCAGGACCCTAAGATCATGACCTGAGCTGAAGGCAGAGGCTTTAACCCACTGAGCCACCCAGGCACCCTGCAGCAGCATTATTCTTAAGAGGAATAATGGGAAACAATCCAAATGCCAATACAGGATGGAGAGACACAGGGACATGTGGGAATATTATACAGCAGTGAAAAAGAACACACTGCTACTATATGCCATAACCTGGATGAATTTCATAGACATAATGTTAAGCAAAAGCCAGACATAAAACAATTTATAATATGGAATTTATTTATAAAGAATTCTAAAACTTCACTGAGATAGAAGAGATGAAAGTGGAAGGAAGGTCTGCTTTTGAGGAAGTGTCAGGGTATTGACGGGGAAGCAGAAGAGGGAGGCTTGTAAGGTGCTGATAGTGGGCTTTATCTTGATCTGGGAAGTGGTCACAAAAGGGTATACATTTGTAAAAATTCACTGGGCTGTCTACTTAAGATTTGTATGCTTTGCTGTATGTATATTGTATTTCAGTAAAAAAAATTAAGGGGAAAAGGGTTGTTCGGAAAGAAGTGGAGGGTAGGATTAGGAGTAATATTTGGGTAGAAATACCAAGAAGTCCCAAACTCATGAGAAAAGAGGTCTCTGCCTACTCACAGTTTACAGATAAGGCCCAGGCCTGGGAGGGGCTTACACAGCATGGGAGGCTCAGAGGAGGAGAGGGATGCCAGCGGTGGAGGGAACAGCAATGCAGCTACCACAACACAGAGGCGAGGGCTCCTTCCCTCTCTCGTGAACTGCTACATCACACCTCTCCGCATTCTCTGGGACCTTCCCTGTGGAGTCCAAACAAGGCCCTGCTGCCTGATGAGGTTACTACTGCCAAATGTCAATGCCACCATGGCCGCTAAGTGCCGTACTCTCCGAGCGCACTCCATCACTACGCTAGCTCTTAACACAACAGACCCTAACTGCAGAATCTTCACCTGCTCACTGACCACTATGCACATGTCCACACATGACACCTGCACAAGAGCAAGGCTTCCTACTCCTGTATTTGTGGATTGCCCACCTACCCCTTTTAAAAGATTGGTGGGGGGTAGTGGCGGGAGAGAGAATTTTCTGGGATTTAGATTTAACTAATTTATCCTTCCATAACACAGGACTTTCGGGGTCACCCCTGTTCATTATAGAGAGAGCAGACATGGTTCTGTCTGTTCCAGACCGCTGGCCAGATAGGCTTGTGGCTCCTGCAGAGATGAAGGCCCTGAGCGCCAATGGGTAGCAGCTCTGAGCTCTGGAGTCCTCATGAGTGCAGCGAGCTGCTTTGCAGAGCCTCCAACCCACTGCTTAGGTGCCCTAGGGCCCTGCCTCTGCGGGTTAGTATCAGACAACGGCTGGCTAATGGCACCAGTGATCAGATGAGCCTTTCCCAGGAAGAGTCTGGAGCCTGGCTGCTCTGAGACTGAAAAAGGAGTGGGCAAGCCTGCTCTGTCTGCATGGTTCCCATGGGTCAGCAATGCCTGCTGGTCCAGTGGGATCTCCTCCAGCCCCAGTTTTGAGAAAACTCAGAAGAAATTGGGGTTTAAAAAAAAAAAAATTCCTAGGCAGCATTTGGCACAATTACAAATGGTATATACTATGTTGGCAAAATGCTTTACAATTATTTTCTAGGCAACTCCACATACATCCCAGCAGGAGAAGTTCAGCACAGACAAGTACAAGTTCTCATGCACTGGACAAAATTAGTTCAATTACTCATGCACACTCGAGGGTGCTTAATTAGTTATAACAGCAAGAGAACCAAAGACCGGGACAGGTCTGCCCTCTCTGGTGAATGACTGATCCATAAACCCATGTAGAAAAACCAAACCAGAGGAGTCTATTAAATATAAGAAACCCCTAAAATTATAAATATTATCCTTTGTATGACGAAGATGACACTCAAATATATTTCTATGTATATATAGATAAGGGAAGACACCAAATGGCTTAGTTTAAGCTTACAATATTCATGCCCCTCAAGTTGGCAGAGGTGGAAACACCTCCCATTACGCACTGAGGGAACTAAGACACTATGATGTTACGTGTCAGAGCAAACTTTATCCTGCAGGCGCTCTGTTTCCTGGGTCACCCCACAGAGTGGGGCCTATGCTTTCTGCTGATGAAATCCTGGGACGAGGTCCCTGCACACACCGGTATGATGCCCAGGGGTGTATGAATCATAGAGGGCACTTAAGTGATCCTTAGAGGGATGAAATCCTTTACTGGGTATTAATGTCCAGTTTTCTAACTTATTGGGTATTCAACAAGTAATAATTTTTCTACCTACTGTCAGCCTGAAAAAAAAAAAAAAGCTGGAGTTGGTCAGCATTAGACATTGGAAAATCTGCATTAGACAGCAGAACCCAGCCACATGGTGGCCTAGATTCAAGGGGGCTACACTGGTTATGCAGGCCTGATGCTCTGCCTACTCAGCCTTCCTCTCATCCTTTATCTGAAGCAAAGGATTAAAATCATGGAATTAGACACATTCCAAGGCCACTAGCTCTGCATTTCACATGTCTGACTTAGACCTCTCAACTACCACCTGAGTAAGCTGGCATGTTTATTCCTGTATCAGTACAGGCCATTTTAGCAACAGAAAAGGGTTTCTGGACAACACTGGTAATTAACAGCAGCTTAAGAAAAATTTCATTTTGAGCTGAAGGAAAAGAATCACAAAAAGGTGGGAATGATAAGAATTCAGCCCATAAACACACATTCTCCAAATGCAAGCATGCACTGCCTGATTTGATATAGGCCACGCAAGGAGTGACACTCTCATCGTTGAAAAAGTTCAGTTGGAAGAGAGCAGACATGCAGATTCGAGGTTGACCTGGGGCTCTTGCTGCCAGAGCACGCACATGGCGTTAGCCAGGTGCTGGATCACACACACCGGTCCTGCTCTTCCCCGTCCTTTGGTCCCCAGTTCTTGGTTTGAGATAAGGACTTCTCATTTGTGAATTCAAGCTAGACTGAAAAGGTCTTTTAGGCAAGGGTCTTTCCACATTTTTCTGTATTTCTTTTCCTTCTCCTCCACACTCTACCTGCGCAACCTCAGGAGAGTGCCTCGAAGGGGTTCAGAAGTGCTGGTGAGATGCTAACATGCTGAGGCAAGGCATGCACTAGACACTGTCACTGAGCACCATGGGAAGCAGGCCGGGGGCTCTAATTTCACTTCAGCCAAGGACTTAGTACACTAATTTGGTAAATAATTCACTTTTTTCTAAGCCATAGTTTCAGGACGTATGCAAAAGCACTCTGTTCCCTGTAAAGAAGTATACAAACATTCATCACTCTTAACCACGGCAATCTTAGAATATGAGTTGACTCCTTTCCATCTTGGAAACAGGCGTGAGGCTTTAGCCAGCATCATTTTCTAGTCAACATCTATGGAGGCCCTACTGCATGCAACATCCCAAGCTGAAGGCGCAAAAAACCCAGAGGGTGGAAAACTGCTCGTTTGCCGGTAAAGAGGTTAATCACTCAGACTTAGCTGATGGTATCAATAATAAGCGATGTTAGCCTGAGATGTTTCCGTATCCCACATCCTGGAGTCTTCCTCAACAGCCAGTCACTGATCCCAGTGGGGCCTGCCATACTGGTCTTTGGGGAGGGACCTGCCTGGTGCTTGCACACATTTGGCTGACCACCCCCACATGAACGACACCACTGCAATCTCTCCCACTGCCTGACAAACTCAGCGGGTGCCCAAGGGAAGGGGTGCGCTCTTAGCCACTGGCCCCAGGTGCTCCTTTGTAGCAGATGTCATACTCTGTTTCCGGGGCGGCTAGGAGCAATTATCTTTTTGTTTAGGGGGTTGTCAAGTGTGAGCCTGGGGATTTAGCTGAGGACTGGTGGCAGGTCCCAGATAAGGACAAATGTGGCCATGAAGCGATTTCCTTTAGGAAGGAAAAAGAAGCCAATTAAGTTCACAAAGGGTCAGCCTATTCCTTTTGTAGCCACTGTCAGAAGCAGGGGGGAGTCTTGCCGTGTTCAGTGGGCAGCTTCGTGATTTCTGCTCTGTGCGAGCTGGCTAAATGCATCAGCCTGGGAAGCCACCGCAGAGAGCACTGTGAGCCACGCACAGGAAATCACAGGCTCCCTCTGAAACCTCTAGCAGATTTCACAAACCCTAGGAGGCGGAATGATACTCCTCATGTTCCAGTCATGTTAATAGCCCAGAAAGAACTCACTGAAACTGCTCCAGGGGCCAGTGGCTTGAACAAATTAGAAGGATGACTTGCGGGTAGCGATGTGTTTGTTTTCAGCAGAGCCAGACTGGCCAAGTTGGTGGGTGCCCAAGCAGAACGACAACACGGCCAGTAGAGAGACCTCGGCTTTACCTTCTCCTGACCCCTATGGTGGTGCTGGCCCATCAGCTTTCCCGCAGGGTGGGCAGCTATGTGCTCTTTTAATCTGGCCCCGGTTTTATAGGGCAGCTTCTCTGTCTCAGTACCTGTAGGTCTTTGTCATGGCCTTGCCTCTCCAGAATCAGCACCCGGTCCTGTAGCTCCTCCACAGTCCCCTGGAGCAGGTCATTCTCCTCTAAGGTGGCACTGAGACGATGCTCCAGCTCCCGTTTCCGATCCGACAGCATCTTGATCTGAAAGGGTGGAGAGTCACAAGGGCGGTGTGCAGTTACACCCAGGCTGATGAGCAGGAAGGGAGGAATGAGCCCCAAACGTGAAGGCAGATGTTTCCCCAAGTGCTCTGCCCAGGGGCCCGGTGCCCCCATCTCGGAGAGAACAGCTGTGAACTCCCAAGCTAGAGAGAAAGCCCCTCCCTTCTAGAAACCTGTCTGGGAAGGGGTGGGAGATGAGCTTTGGGAAGCTGGAATGTGGGATGCCAGGCAGAGGAAGGGAAGGTCAGTGCTCTGGAAATTCCACAGATAAGACAGAGAAGGGCTCCACCTTGCCTGCTCATAACTTCACCTCAACCCCATAATTTATGGGGGAGTGGAACCCAAACTGTGGTTCCATTCTTCCTTCTCAAGTCATGGGCACAGGAAAATGCCTGGAACAGCCTCTTGAGCTGCTGTCTTGTCATACTTTTATGGCTCTCTTCTGTACGTCCCCCCCTGCTAACGGGTCTGGCTCTAGAGGTCACAGTTCAGACCTGGTTCTCCAAGTTAATGGGGGAGTGGCAGGGTACAGAAACAAAGTAGTGCCTGCCTCAGCCTGTGTCCTGGAAGCAACAGGACATGGACATAAGTGAGTAAATGATTTTACTCAGTGTCTTTTTGCCTGAGCAAGTCATTTGTGAATAGGAGGAATTTCACTCCTTTTATTAAACAGGCCGGTGTGTTTGTACATTGCATATCTAGCCAGTCTCAAGAGATATAAATCTTCTTTTAGGAAGGCCTGTCTAGACTTTTCAATGTCAGTGAGAAAAAAAAGGCAAAAAAGAAAGGGGTGCCAGATCTCCTGGCCTCAAGGTCTGTAGGCTCAGGAGCAATGCCAGCACTCCATGGGCCAGCGATGCTTCACCCCAAGAACACTGCACCGCTAAGGGGCCACGGAAACCGTCCCAAGACCTGCATGCAGGTCTCACTGGCTCCTCCCAACTATCATTTCCCTGCTGAACTTATCTCTCAACCCGCTTCTTGCTCCCAACATGGTTAAGATGTTCTCCACTCTCTCCAGTTTGGCTTGGAGAACAATCCATTAAGGGGACCAAACTTCGACCCTTTCCTAGGGAGATTTTAAAATGAATGTACAATGTGTCTGAGGTTCTCTGAAATCCACCTTTCCCTCTGCTTTTTGTCTGTTCTTGCTGTCCACACCAGAATTCTGTTCCGAGAGCACAGATCTTCCCTGGCCACTGATCAATCAGATAGGGTGCTGTCCTGGGGAAATGGAAGTATGTGGTCTTTGTCTAGAGAGATCAGGTATCTGGCCAAACAAAGAAATACTGTCTCAAGTGTGCATCTGGGTGAGGGACAAAAAGGAGTAGGTCTCTTCTGTGTATGGGGCCACTATTCCCCACACTGAAGCATGTTACCCATGTGAAGGAATTCTTACTCTAGTTGATTTTCATTTAAATACCCTCTGACCTTTACATTTTCCTTCCATGGATAAGCTTTGTTTCTCAAGTTCCACTCAGTGAAATAATGATTTAATAGTTCTGACAGATAATCTTGGCCCCTTAAAAAAACTTAGACGTCAGAGCTACATGAAGTAACGTGCTTGACCAATGTCATACGTTGGTTTTGTAAAGCAGCAGTGTTGCCAGATGAAGCAAGGCATCGACACTCCATCACCCCAGCCTATATACCCTGAAACTTGTGATCAAATCTGCCAATTAACATTTCCGGGAATGACCCCGAGTCACGAGGGTCTTAAAATAGTAAGCAGAGGGGAGAGGAAAACAGGTAACTCGAAGCAATCAGAGCTTGGCAAAGGCAGTTTAACGGCAAGTCATGCACACGAGTGGTCACAGACAGGCATGCCAAACCCCACCAGAACCAACTACTTACTTCAAGAACCTGCTGCTCAATACCAGTAGTATTTCCAAGGGAAGGGAGAAAGGAAGGGAATGACAGGCAGGAGAAAAGAGAAGACATTGACAGACTTTAGGAAAAACATCTTCAGGTCATTTCCAAAGTAGGGAAGCAGCCATCTGGGGTTCTCTGGGTCTGACCACACCTATTGATTCCTTAACCAGAGTCAGGGTGTGATTCATCTGGCCCTAGCCTGTGCCTTCAAGTGGAACTTAGCCAAAGGGCTGCTGTCTGGACAATCGGCTTAGGGGTCGTCAGGATCAGATTAGGTGGAATACTGAGGGGGAAGAGAAGAGCCCCCATTTGGGCTGGTGATAGGACTCCCCTCTTCTCACCTCCCACAGCTGGGTTCTCACAGGGTTGTCCACTAAGTGCTGCTTTTTCTTTTCCTCTGGCCCACTGAGGGCCAGAGACCCTGCCATGCTCTGGCTCACACCCTCCACACGGAGTGCTTTGGAGTGCTTTCTCTGATTTAACTCATCAAACACAACAGCCCTATGGAGTAGCTACGTCTGTTACCCTCATTTTGTACATGAGAATATCACAGGTGGACTGAACTGGACCTAAATAGCATGGAGCAAGGGGAAATTCTCTTTCCCATCATCTGTTTAGGGTCGGCAAGAATGTTCTTGGACGGATCCACATATTCAGTAAAAGTAGGTCATCCATGATTTCCGCGCACTCAGCAGTAACTCTGAGCAACCTTACTCTTCCAGACCCAGTGCCACATGAATCAAGTGTTCCCCCTTGAATTTCTCACAGAGACATCTCTCTTCAGAGATTTTAGATAGAGCAGGGTTTTGTCTCCCAGTTCAGGAGACTCCTTATCTGAGAGACCTACTGCAGCGCCTCCACTGAGAAAAGCGCTGCCTCTGTAAGCGCGGCCCCGCGGGGCAGCTCACCTCAGCCTGAAGGCTTTCAAGCCTGATGATGTGCTGGTTGGTTGAGGAGTTTTTCTCCCGGAAGTCTTCTCTGAGGGCATGGACTTGCATGGAGAGTTGTCTCTCAACTTCTGATGCCTGCAAGTAGAGGATACCTTCAGTGGGGGACTGGGAGGCTTCAGCGGATTCAGTGCAAAGGGAGTCTGTTAAGATTTTCCTGCCTTTCGTTTCCCAAGCATCTCTCTGCAACTTCCTACTCTGTGAGGAGCATAGGATGAGATGCTGGCTTCCCACCCCCGGTCCATGTGTTCTTTAGTGCTCAAACAAGACCAACCCCCATCTCTACTTCCACTGCGGACGAGTCTGTCTTGGTAAAGACCGCTTTGCTAGTCAGAGGAAACAGGCCTAGGAATAGTAAGCTCTCAAATGTTCGATACCGCCATGACTACTCTGCACCTAGCAGAAGCTCCGCGAACATCTACTAAACCCAGAGAAAGTCTCAGTGTTTTACATGAAAGAGTAAGAGATAGACCTAGTCCTTCAGAAACTCCTTTATTTTTCTCTTAGAAATGTCTTTATCTATATTCTCTCATTCCTTTATTTTCTCTTTATTTCCTCAGCAGGGCCCAAGTAAATCATCTCTGTCTCCATTGCTCATTTCCATTCAACATGGGCACTATTTGAAGTTCCCTGTCATGTCTGTTAAGATTTTTTTTTTCATTTTTATTTTTTAAAGATTTTTATTCTTTGAGAGACAGAGGGAGAATGTGAGAGAGAGCACGAGCATGGGAGAAGGGCAGGGGGAGAGGGAGAAGCAGACTCCCCACTCAACAGGGAGCCCAGTGGGGGACCTGATCCCAGGACCCCAGGATCATGACCTGAGCTGAAGGCAGACGCTTAACAAACCAAGCCCAGTTAAGAATGTTTCTTTTAAAGATTTTATTTTTAAGTAATCTCTACATCCAGCATGGAGCTCAAATTCACAACCCTGGCATCAAGACTTGCATGTTCCACCAACTGAGCCAGCCGGGCATCCCGATGTCTGTTAAGATTTTTGCCATTCGGTCCTCAAGGACATCTCATGCAACTTTATATTCTTGGGGACTGTGGCTGAGGCACTGATTTCCCACCCTGATCCATTTATTCTCTAAGGCTGCAACACAGCAAAACACTAAAGACATTTAGTGTATCGGCACCTTCTCCTGAATATGCAGGAGAGTGTTTTGAAAGAATGCTTCCTTGCTAAGATTTGAGCTCCAGTCCTTCTCCAGGAGTCTCGGCCCAGCTTCCCAGTGTGCATTGGCCCTGAACACTGCCCAGTAGAGACAAGAGCCACAGGACAGGTTAAAGTAACTGCCTCAGTGCTTTTTTTGAGGCCGAAAAGGGGTCAGTAAGCTTTATGAGTTCCTGGGAGAGATCACTGTGTGCTGAAGTGGTTAGGAGGTGGGATGGCAATAATGTTGATATGGGAGGCTAGCTGTATAGTGAGGCCCTCACATTAACAGATACATGTTTGATAGTTTTTTTTCTCCAGCTTTTTTTTAATTTAAGATGTATTTATTTACTTTAGAGAGAGCACGAAGGTTGGAGGGAGTGACGGAGAGAATTCCCAAGCAGACTCCCTGGCAAGCATGGATGCCACGCAGGCCTCAATCCCATGACCCTGCGATCACGACCTGAGTTAAAATCAAGAGTCAGACACTCAAGTGACTGAGCCACCAGGTGCACCTCAATAGTTTTTATCTTCAAGTGCTGTATCAACAACGGTCCATCTTTGTCTTGGTCCAGCAGAGTCAACAAATGTTGCTCCCCTGAACTAGATGGCCATGTAAGAATCTCAGCCTATAGTTCTAAATTTTAAACAGTTATACATACACAACAAAATAAAACCAAACCACCTCTTCTTCCTTATTCTAAATTTAATTACAGACACCACCAGCTTTTTTAGTTTTCTTTATCACTTAGAAACACAATGTTAGTCATCCTTACCTAAAATAACGTAAGTGGTATGTACTGAGTACTTACTATGTGCCAAGAATTGTGCTAAATGCTTTAAATGCATTATCTCAATTGTCATAACCAAAGTAGTGCCTGTCATGCTCAATTCACTAATGAGGAAACAGGCTCAGGGAAATGAAGGAAGCTGCCAACTTCTCAGTAAATGATGGTATCAGAATGGTAAACTTTGGGTTGTCTTGTCTCCAAAATAGGACTTCAATACAG